GTCACGACGCAATTGAATTGTTTCGAAATTCATAAAATTTATCCCTCGCAACGCACCTTTTATAGGTGGACACGCCGATTCTGACCACCACGGATTGCGAGGGCGCCGGAGAGACCTTCCTTGTAAAATCATCTTCCACGACGGAGAAGGATCAGGTTGCAGCACCCCTACACCTCACCGTTAGCGCGCAACTCCATTTGGAGGCACTGGCCCTGGGCATGAGCAAGGTAGGTGAGTCAACTTCTAGGATGCGGCATGGTTATCTCACAAATTATTTGAATTGCAAGGTTTCTTGTGGAGAGTTTAGTCATTGTTGCGGTGACTTAGGATGCAGAATAGTGCCTTCTTCTTTTAGGTTTCCTTGGTCCTATTGTGTTTATCTTCTAGTGTCACCCGCATGCTTGAAAATAAACCACGTCCTAGATCACTGGGTACCAAGTGCTCCATTTCCTTCACTTTGAAGTTTGCTGTTCCATTCTTTTCATGCTTCACATTGACTATTCCTTGTTTCTATGTTTATTGATGTTTCAAGTGTTTCGGTTTATAATATTTTTCCTTAACAATTATCCTTCTAGCGGTTTTTGTGAAATTGAAGGTGATTTGTGTTTTTTTTTTTCGAGTCAATATTGCATTATGAAAAAAACACCGTCTCTGAAGGCATGGCTAACGGATATAAAGGTTTTTGAGAGGTTCTGACCTGGCGCTTTTAATTTGCGTACTTAGTTCATAGGAGTTGACAGGTGAGCTCAATGCGGACAATGATGCCCTGAATGGTGGGGTGGAGACAAATCATTCTAATACTACTCATGAGTTAGCAGCCAGTTTTAGCCTGGTTTCTGTTTCGGCAGCGTTGTCCTATTTTACACAAAACTGGTCGGAAAGGCGAATTGGGCAAGTAGTTGTCACGAGAAATCGTCACTGCATTCTCCAGATTTTACAACTAACTACCACCAGGAAAATGTTTATTTTTTAAATGGGATCTGTAGGATGCCCTTCACGTTTTCGGCGACCCCAGCCAACTTGTTGGTGGCTGTGTAAAAACTGTTAAAGTTATAAAAGTGATTTGATTGTTAGGACACCTTTGGGTTTAAACACTATTTGTGTACACAATTTAGCACTGTTCAAATTCGACGCCAAAAATTCCATGTTAACCGACCGGATTGTGATCCCTTAGCGGTTTAAGTCGAATGGCATTCACTCAATGCGACTGTCAGAAGCTTCTTTGTGAAATATTATGAGGCTTGTTTGGACATGCAGTGAGCACCATGAGGTACGGTTTTATTTTCGACCTCCAGAAAGGCCGCAATCGCCACTTTATGTAACGGTCACCGAAAGTCACTTTCAGGGTACAGGTTTTCATGTGTTTTCAGTCTATACTTTTAATTCTAACCTCTCATTCCCACTTCGTAGCATCATTTTTATGAGCTAGTCGTCATTATGGACTGTTACTGTTGTGGACAACTTTCCCAGAACCTCCATGAAACGTAAATCTTGAAATCTGTCCTTCGAGTTTAGGCAATTGAAATTCTGGGTTTCGAATCTGATCTTGGGAATATGCGCGGGGGGAGGGTTTCACTGCCTACCGGAAATTCCATTGATGTTATTAATCCTACCTATGAACTCACTGACCTAAAGACCTGCTGTGTATCACTTTCAATCAGCATTGATCAGGGTTTATAACCAAAACTTACTTCTGCCGTTTTTTTTGCCAGTCTACAAAGTTGTCTTCATGTTTTGCGATAAGTGAAAGCAAAGCATTGTGAGCAATCTTTCATTTGAAAGGACGAAGTGTCATAACGATAACAGCGACGGTGAATGGTTCTAGCTACCAAATAGGAACAGATAGTGAAAAAAAGTGAACCCAGGCCTTCAGGAATTGGCACTTTGATTTGTGACCTAGAGCGATTTGTGTGACTGCTTGCTTCCCTCTTTATGTTTTTATTTTAGCCTATCGTTTTACGGGCTTCAAAAACCATTCAACATGACGACTGTTTTTACACATATCGCTAAGGTTGTAGATTTTCTATCCTTTTGCATTTTCATCATGGAACCGCAATTGCTTTTGATTAGGGGGCTCTTGACCTTTGATACCATATACTAGCATATCTTACCCTGCTGCCTGTTTTGTTTGCAAATCATCTCTTTCTTGACTTATTTTTTGATGACTTTCTTCTGCACCATCACTGCAGTACCACCTGGAAAAGGACTATACCATTACACTTTTTGGAATTTTCCTGTTTCATTTTCCTCTCTATTCAGATCGTTAAAACCACAGACCGCCATTTTTAAGGTCGATGCTATGAGGGTGTAAGGCACCTTGATGTGGTCCATCTTCACGTCAAAGTGAAGTGGATTTGGGTTTTTAATCGGCTGTCGCCTTTTCTTCTATGCGTGCCACTTCAGCTGCGTTAAAGGTAACCCCTCCTGATCTTGCTGGAGCCTTTCACTGCAAATGGTGACATTGATTTGCAACTGCAGTCCAAATCTTCACCTTTTTGATTGTCTAAATATTTAATGTGGCTCACGACATTCGAAGTACACGACTCTTGTGCCTAGTGAACTGGCCCAGTGAAATTCAATTTCCATTTAAGCTTCGTCTGCAGTTGTGAATAAATCTTCGGTTCTTGGCTTTGCATGTGTGCGAGAAGGATTTAAACTTACCCACTGTGGTTTCAATCAGCCATTACGAAAGAATGCCTTAAAAGTTTTTTTACAGATAAGGATGTGCGTCACTGTCCAAAAGGCATTAGTATGATTTTACTCCAAAGGAACGTACTTTTACGCCTAATCGTGGGTGGGAATTCGATGCAACAAAAGCTTTAAAAGGTGAATCCTAAATGTTCAAAAAGGTGTAGCTGTTTGGGAAGCGGTAACTTTATCTTGTTTGGTCTTTTATGCGCTAAGGTGACATAGGATCAGTGGAAAGCACTGCTGTCTTTTTACCTCTACGTGCTACCTGATCTTTGGACTGTCATTAAAAAAATTCACTATTTTATGGATCTTTGGAACGGAAGCCCAAATTGTTTAACTTTGTTCAAAGTTAAGGCTTTCCCACCGCTTTTAACTTACGGACATTTAGGTCACCAGTTAGTTCTTGGGGTAGAAAAGTGTTGAGTGATGTAAACTGCTAGAGAGTGGGGAGTTTTTGGAAGGGAATGAAGCAGTTTCTAGTAATTAATTTCTTTCAAGTGATAGTTTATCCACTGACCAGTTGAAGACAGAAATTGATGCAAAATTTATAGAAGGGATATCATTTATGAAATTGGGGTTTTTACCCCCTAGGTGTACACGCTAAGTCCAACATTTCGAGCGGAGCCCTCGCATTCGCGCCTCCACTTGGCCGAGTTCCTGATGCTGGAGGCAGAGTCAGTTACTATGACGACTGTAGACGCCCTCTGCGACGAGATAGAAAGCATTGTGCGCGATATCGCATCCCCTTACCTCGATTTGCTGTCCACCATCTCGCAAAACGTGAGTTTGTTGTATCTAGACAATTTCTTTGGGTGTCCAAGAAGTGTGAAACCTAAGAACTTCAAAAAATTGTTTCAGAGGCACGCATGCTTGGCGCAATCCTGTGTTCAATTACAGTAGACGCCATGTGCTGGAGTCTTGTCGATAATCTTTTAGTGGTCTAACTAGGTTCCTCGTCTCAGTTCTTGATCGGTGCTAATGCCCATTTGTGCTGGTTTCCAAACGTGTAATGGAAGTTGCGTTAAGGTCTTGTCCTGGTGAGTTGAAGCAGTGAATAAGGTATAATAGTTGGCACAATTTTGTAAGTATCATGTGTCTCAGGCAATAATTACACGAATGAGTAGCCACGAGCATAGCAGGTTGTAACGACTAAATACGTTTGATAATATTACAATGAATAAAGCCTTTAAGGGCTACAATCCCTTACTTCATTACGAAAGGAGTCGCAGTGAGTGGATTTATGGAAAGATAACTGTGACTAGAAGTAGATAACATCATCACTCTGACCAAACTTGGAGCTCAAACAACGAAGGTGAAAGTCAACCTTGTAAATAACCTAATGTTGCATAATACCATGAAATAACAAAGTTTGATATCAATTTCTGAAGAAAGATGTCCTTGTTTCATTCTACTTTTGTAATTATCGGAGAACAAATGACGTTTTAGCGCAGCGCCCTGTTTGCGCAGTGGTCGAACAGGAGAAATCTTGTAATTATGCAGCAGAAAAATCAAAATGATCATGAAAATTAAGGATTGAGAAGTAGAGTACCGCTTGTCATAATTATCTTGAATCCCGAAAAACTGTCACTGCTGAAAGGAATGTTGTGGGCAATAGTAGGTTAATTTAGGTTGATTTGCTTAAGGAGTGAATTGGTAAAAGGGCTTTTAATACGATTTTCTTATCAGACTTCGAAGTAATAAACATGTGAAGCATATTGTGTAGCAGTTCATGATAACTAATTGCACCAAGTTGTATCCATAAACGGTCTGGTTGGGTTTAGAACAGTGCCATTGTCGTAGATTATTATTGGTCTGACAGAAATTATATCCGCTTTTATTTTTTAAGCAGCAGTCGAATTAGTCAAAAAAACTAATGACAATTGTCGTCAGATAAGAAAAGCAAACTACTTTTTGGCTGCGGTGGTCTACTTACTCTCGGAGACCCTAAGTGCACACGTATTGAGCGAAATCATGATATTTAGTTTTAAAAAGGATAGAAGCTGTGCCCTGGTTTGGTACTCCTTGCAAAAGTGTGGGAAAAAACGCACTTTTTACGTTCTTTATTCCCATGTTTACTTAACAATAAGCGACTAGAAGCCTGATAAAAAATACTACCATGGCCGGTGTAGCGAGATCATGAAATTTAATGTTGCTGAGCATGGACCCTAATTTTTAGTTACCCTTAGTTTTGCTGCACAATTAATTGGTCAATATAATGCTCCTGGGCATTTCTATCAGCTTTGTGATAGCTGCAAAATCCAACATTCCAAAAGACCAGGTAGGTGATATCGCTCATAAAATAAATGCTGTGACTTCTATGCAAATCCGCTGGCAGCTTTAGGAGCCACAATTTCTTTTGCAGTCCGAAGATGCGATTGGATGCAACATACACTAGATAATTTCAATTAGAATGCAATTAATATTGTGGCGTTTCCAGGGTCGATTTTGTTTTCGAGTGGTTTATGTGAGATGGTCACAACATTGTCATGTTTGCGTTCTACTGATTTAAGTCAAATTAGACGTTATAGGGGCTCTACCACCACTTTAAATAGTTTGATAAACTCACAGTAAGTAGTTATTCATGTTTCGATTCCGATGGTATTTTTTCGCTCATTTTACCGCATGTGAAATGGGTGTTTAGTGTTCAGCTGTCTTCGGAACAGCAATATTTAGGTAGTATCATGGAGCACACAATTTAATTCTAGGTGAGGGAAATGTGTTCTTCGAAAATGCTTCCATTATGGCAGTTTTCACGTAGTTATGCTGTTTTGTTTACTACAATTAAGGTTTTTGCCAACTTGACCCTACCTACTGATTGTCCTATAAGTAGGCACGAATCCGACTTTAAGACTGTAGTCCTGCGTAATCGCCCCTCAAAAAAGCGCCTTAACATGGTCGCCCTACATGAATTAGGCCCACTTTCAATCAGTAAAGCCTTCCTTTATTACCCTTCCAACTTAAAAAAATCAGGATCTGCATCACATTCTCTCCTATCTCTCTGAGACGCCGGGCGCAGTGAGTCCCTCGGAGCACCTTAAGACCCTCCAGTCCGTACTCAGCCGCCCATTCACGCGAATGACCTTCCATGAGGCCCTTGACTATCTGGAGCGTCACGGCAAGCGGAACTCCACCACCAACACCGAAGTTAGTGGCTTCAACAAGGAGGAGGAGCAGGCACTGTGCGTCACTGTCGGCGGTGGCGTCTTTGTAACCGACTTTCCCGCCGCGCAAAAGCCCTTCTACTGTGCACAATCACTCACCTCGAAAAACACCGAGCCTTCGGTGGCTGCAGTTGACTTGCTGATTCCTGGTGTAGGAGAATTGGTGGGCGGATCGGTGAGAGAGTCGCAGAAGGAGGTGCTGTTGACACGAATGCCCGGTGGTGAGACGGGAGCGTTGGGGTGGTATGCGAACCTTCGAGGGCATGGTGGTGCTCCACATGGAGGGTTTGGTCTGGGATTCGACCGGCTTCTGTTATGGTTATTGGGTGTCTACAACATTCGTGACACGGTAACATTCCCCAGGGAGATTGGGAAGATGTACCTCTAGTCTAAACTTTCCCGTCTACGTTTGCTGATGTCTCCACCCGTTAGTAATCAGCTTATATCGACAATCTATACATTATGATTATGAGATCTTACTTCTTCACCCATCGGTGTTGGAGCATTACTCTTTAGTGTTTCTTTGGGGAGAGAGCAAGGCAAGGCAAGCTTCAGGAAGATTCCCCCCTCTAACATCCGTGCATTTATGTCGACAGACCACATCAATCTATCCTTATTTGTGTCAAATTGGAAAAAAAAGTGGTGAGATTAGTTGAATTCAGCTGCCAAATCGTGCATATTTTGGAGCTAATGTATTTGATCTTATGGGGTCGTGTCTACTCCATCTCTTGACATCTGCGTGATTCAATTTCAAGGCTAAAATCGTCTGCTTTAATGGGATTTCCAATATCATGTCGCGAGGGCACTCTCTCGTGCCCTTCGTTCTTATGCTTTTCATAAGCTCACTCAAGATTCAAATATTACAGAAAGAGGAGGAATTCGCTTAAAGACATGGCTATTGATGTTGCGCGTCTTTAATTACTAATTTAAGGCCAAGAGTATTCACGACTAAAATGCTTTTACGATGGAACTTCCTGCAGTTGCAAGTGATTGACGATTTCTTAGCCCCCTAAAACCCACTTATTAATATGGGTGTTTGAAACTTTGTTCCATTTTGATGGGAATGAAAGCTCAAGAGCTTTACTGCTTTATTGTACACTTCCTTAACTAGTCGTATTTTGCACGGAACGAGCTCACATTTTAAGGAAAAATTCATTCGCCCGCCTTCTTCGAAGGGCAGTACAGAAGCATCGAGGACGACATTTTACCCATGGAGAAAATTGCAGGCTTCCATTTAAGTTATTGGTTCTTACATTTAAATGGTACTAAGTGCTTTTTTGCTTTTTTCTTCAGAATCAGCTAGGTTGTATTTCAACGTGTCGAAGCAATTAGACCTAATCAGTAAACATATTTCATACTAGAGATAGGTTTCTTATTCATTCGATGCTGGTGTTTTCGCACGGTCACCTCCAGTAAAATCGCCATTCTTTTTTTCCTTCAACGCACAACTCCAAAAGGACACAGTGAGATGAGCTTTCATGGTTGATTTTCTTTGAAATCGGAAACACTACTTTTTACCTCGGCTTTTTACTGTTATTACTATTTATAGAACATCTCTCTCAGTCCCTGTAGTTTTTGGCAAGCGGCTATTTAAGAGAGTATTGTCTATAGCTCATTTATGGTAGAATGACATTGTTAAAAAGCTCTTAGTTTTTAAGGTAGCAAACCGATGGGCGTTGTATCTATTAAAACCCTATGGCCTGTGTATTGCCGGATTACCTTGTGCTATTCTCACTGTGGCGACTGCGTTCCCCCTGAAAACGGGTTGTGAGATGACCTGCGCGCGGACCAACCTAGTGCTGGTAATCCATCACCAAAATGAGTTGATTTCGACAAGAACATGTCGGACTCATAATTTATTGGCAAGAGACGCTTTGCTAAGTGAATTTAAGCATTAAACGAAAAACAGCATAGCCAGCGTGTCCTAAAGAGTTCATTACTTATGTTAAATGATTAGTGCTAAGGATTTGCAATGTGTGCTGGGCAAAAGGTGGGCTAATCTGCAAAAACATTTATGTAACTAGTGAAAAGTCGCGATTTCAGTGAACGAAAAATGGAAGTAAAATATTCGTTTACATGTCTGAGGATGTCAATACCCATTTGAAGAAGTTTGATATGAAGAAAGGACCCGAAATGTTACTCGATTACTACAACCGGCACTTTCCTCAATTCCTTTGGAATTAAACTAGTATTCTTAAGTCCTTAAATAAAGCCTGAAAAGAATGTATACCTAGGGGAGCGATTACGAACTTTCTAATAAATACTGTGTCACTAAGGCGCTCAGTCAGCATTCATTCGCCAGTCGGCCCGGCTTTCAGGCAATGCCAGTAACCCCAAGCCCTACTGTACGTGGCTAAAAATATTCTGTCCCCTTTCCTCTTCAGGGGAGTCTCAAGACGCTGCAATGGTGGCAGCGGAAGGCGAACACGATCTTAAAGGATTTCTACCTTGATTTATTCCTGAATACTAAACTTTAAAGGAACGGAAGACGGTTATGTGCTACTGACGGGAGGATCGGCGACGGCCCATATTGAAAGGGCTGAAAATGACGCCCTCCTTCGATAACTGCCCCAGTAGTCTTGTGATCCGCAGAAAAGCTATTAACAGTGGGAGCGACGCCAGCCATGAACCATCTAGAAAGGTTACGTCACGGAACTGCTCACCATTTCCGTATAGAGATGCAACTGAAGTGAATACGAGACAACTCCTCCACTTCTTAAATAGGTGGATAGAACCTGGAGATATGGCTGGGCAGTACTTTAGTGAGAACAACGTGACAAGGAGGAATAGGCGTCAAACATTGCTTCTACGGAACTATGCTAGCATGTCTTTTGTTACGTGGCCCTGCTTTTAATCCAGTGTCTCTGCCACTAACGATGGACACGAGTGATGGCCAGCCCATCTTTTCTTCCTCCAGTATGGTTCCCCAACAGGAAGAAACTCCAGATCCGGTAGAATTTCCGTGAGGGACATGTACTAATCAGTTGCATGGAAATTCGATGACTGGAGCTGTTGGTTGGTGGGTATTTCTCTTACAGCTGACATGGAGTTGGACCAAGGGGATCGATGAAGACGATGCTCAAAATAGGCGGGGGGCTATGTGGTAACACTTTGTTTGTTAAACTCTAGTTCTCGATGAGGGGCCGCTTGAGTACACCAGCACCGCACCTTTGCCGAGTGGCCCGGGCTTTGAGCCATGTCAGTAGCCCCGATTCCCGCTCTGTCGACAGTGCACATTCAGCTCGCATATTATTTTTTTTTCCTGCTCAATTTAATCTCCGGGCTCTGCTTAGGGAAAGCTGAGGTGGATGAAAAGCATGTTGTCAGGCAAGAGCATAATCGACAGTGCTGAAACGTGGCTAGCTTATCGAAAATAAGAGGTATTCGACAGTGGCCATGAGTAGGGTTTTATTTCCATATTCATGCTTGCGTGGCAGCTCAGAGATCAATTAAATTACCAAAACGACAAGTAGAAGACATGTTTTTTTTTAACGAATTGTATGTGGCGAATTAAAACCTGTCTTATAGTGGGTAAACATGATTAAATGTTGCGTAGATGAAAATTAGTTTTAATTCATCGATGCAGGAAAATAACTTAACGCCACCAGATTTGTACAAATTCAAAGAGGTAGATTTGTGTAAGTTGCGTTATTCTTACAGATAACAGATTAAAAGAGTAGCACTGAAAGGGATAGTGCAGGTCATTTATCGCTAGCGAGTCCATTAATTGCTCATTGAAGTGGACCAAGTCGAGGCTACCCACGATGGGGTCATTTATTTGATAGATTTGTTCTTAATAAATAGCTCAAAGAAATTATTACATGTGGGTTTTACAAACTAGGGTTGTATTCCTACTCTTAACTAGAAGTGATTCATCTCAAACACTAAATAGCAAGCTTGATTTGCATGAGGTTTGACAGTTCCATTGAAATCTATTGACAAATCTACTGTTTGTCACTCAGCCTTTACAGCAGAGATCTATTCGACTAAGCAGAATAAGTGGATTTTAATCAGAAAAATCAATGCATGTTTGTGACTTTTGAACTTAGCGACATGTTTTTAAAATCTGTCCGAAAGTGCTCTTTTATCCTGGCTTGTGAAGTTTTGCAAGGCTAATACTATTTTCTTGTCGTCCTATCTGGCTCAAAAAACCTTTTGCCACTGAAAATTTCGATATCATTCTAGGGAACTTAATGTTTTTTAACGTTCTATCTGCATCTGCAAAGCTGAACACGTTAAAATCTGTACTCTGATATTAATTTACCATTTTAGATTTCATTAAAGACTCCCCATCTGTTCAATTCAAGTGCTTTAGAAGCACTGCGACCTAATCGATTTTAAAATATTATTTTGATGAGAGGGTTTTATATTCCCCCTTAGCATAATCATCATTAAATTACTTCATCTATTGAATAGCCCATACGTTACTACTGGCAGTGGCGGAGAAAGGATTCCAAGTTGAGTATCAGTTTCATTTGCCGCTAGTCCATTTCTGTTTAGCTGATTACTAGTAATGGAGACGAACCGTCCTTTACGTAGAGGTTCATGAGCGAGTTAATTAGTACACGGGAACTAGTTTGCAAACTAACAATTCCGTATCCTCCCAATTCAACGACTGTTGGGTGCCTTGTAGTAGCGGCAAAATGCCGCGACCACCAATCGTGGTGTGCTACATTTGCCACCGTGAATTCGGCACCGCCTCCATCGGAATTCACGAGAAGAGTTGTCTCAAAAAGTGGCGCGATGCTAATAATAAGCTACCACCCTCTGAGCGTCTTCCTGAGCCCATCAAGCCAACCACTTTTCCCTCCCCCTCTCCGGATACCCAAGTCGCCTCCGACACCACCGTGGGTTTCGTGGACAATCGGCAGATCAAAACCACCGGCCAAGACCCCAACGTCGAGGCCTACAACGCTGCCGCCGCACAGACCAAAACCCTCGCCACCTGTCCCAAATGTAGTCGTCACTTTGCACCCGACCGACTGAAGGTGCACCAGGCGCATTGCAAACCCCCACCCAAACTCGCTCGCCGACACACATATGAGGCGCGCAGACCCGATGTGGAGGTTCATCTGCTCCGCACTCCCCTGGGCGGCAAAACCTCTGTCCCCAAGACTTCCATTAAACGAGCGACCAGTAGCAAGGAGGGCCTTATCGCGTGCAAAATCTGCGGCAGAACCTTCGCTTCCGGTCGAATCGAGCGTCACCAGGCCGCGTGTCGCGCCACACCCGTAAAGCCACCCTCCTTTAAGTCCAAACCGACGGGACGCAGACGTTCAACCTCGACGAACCGCACGCAGCCGAACCAGGCCACGCCGACTTGCGGTAGCTGTGGTGCCAAAGTAACTGCGGGAGAGAAGTTCTGCGTGCGCTGCGGAACTCCAATACCCCCCATGTGCTCACAGTGTGGTGCCCCTTTGGTCGAGGGGGCAAAATTTTGTGCTCACTGTGGTCGACCAGTTCAGGCAAACAAAAATAACGCCAATCTGATGAAGACTCGAGCCTTGTTCGCGACTCTACGGTGCAAGAGGCCAACTGGTTCCCGATGACGAACTTATTGCCTTGTATTGTTTTGTTTAATCTACTTTTAACCCCTAACTTCACAAGTACTTACTTCACTTAGCGACGGTTGTTCACGATCTCTCTTCAAAAAAGAGGATGACGAATATTCTTTCTAACAGACATTTAGTTCCCTCCATCTACAAAGTGTCATTTTGAGAGAAAGTTCGATGTGATGAAGGAGCACGCTGGTATTCTTTTATTCAAACAGTTTGAATCGGATAGAAACTACATTTCAGCAGTGCTGAAAGATGAGTTAGCACCTGGGACAGCTTCCAGAGTCATCGGTTGCAGAGTGGTAGCTGGAGAAGCGGCAGCACTGCTAGGCGGGGATTCGCCCTCCCGTTTGCCGTAAGAGTGTTTGTTGAGATTTTCCATCCACTCAAACATGCTACACGATACAGGTTACGGAAAAATATCAGACCTATCGGTTGCATAGTCAATTCAAGCATGTGAGCGGTAACAAAAGGCGAACTTTTCCTTTATGGGGCTGACCCAACAACTTCGCCTCAGGAAAATGAATGCCGAGACGCTGTCAAGTGACAATTTGGAGAAGACTCTACTCGAGAGGATAGGTGCTTTAGAGCTCACTTAAGATGCGCAGCAAACGGCAAACTTAGTAGTTCACAATAAACCTTCTAGTTACCGTGGTTACTCCTACTTTAAGGCCGTCGATCAGCTTACAGTCACCAATGGCCGTCTTAGGTCCCTTTTATCGAACCGAGTTTACTGTATAGCGTCTTCACCTGGTTAGGGTGTGCTGCATACACTTTACTACTTCATTAACATAGTGGATTCATTCTTAAATAAGTGTTTGGAGTTATTTTGTTTTAGAAAAGGATACGAGTTGTCCTCGACTTCGCGCTCCACCATATGTCGAAATATGTATGCCTCCTTGAATTCATCAATTTGCCGCTAAACTTAGACTAAAGCCAAAGCTTTAACCTTCACCTACCTTATACCTCTCCCAGTCAATGGATTGATGGCTTCCATCAGAGCAAAACCGCTTATTGTAGTGGGTATAGTTAACCTGGTCAAGCAGCAGTCCCAATCCCGGTGCCTTTGGGATATCCATCTGTAACCAAAACATTAAAATTTTAGCATTTAATTAAATAAACTTAGCCCACGAGGCTGTAAAACCCACCTTTTCAGCCTTGAATACATTCTCAAATACAGCCTCGGTTGCGCAGCCCTTTACGATAGCGACGACTAAACCTATCATTTTTCGTATCTGGTGAAGCATAAACGACTGTCCCTGGACGGTTATAACTGCGAATTCTCGGTCTCCATCAAGCAGGAAGGGTGGACCACATTCGATCGACATAATATAACGCAAACAGCTTTTATCGTCGGGTGTTCTAATAGGAAAGAAAAAAATAGTGACAAGGCCACAGGGGATACTTGCCTTCTGGAAGTAAAATTGAAAAAATTATGGGTGCCTTTGTAGTGTCGAAACAGCTCGTTTATGCGAGTCAAGGTCTCCGCCGAGAGACGATACCTCCAGCAATTCTCCAAAGTTATACCACCTCCAGAGGAGAAAGCGAAAGTTGGCAAGAGGTACTGGTAGACACGATAGTTGCAGACAGTTTTGGGATTGAACTTCTTTGTTACACGGAAGATATCTAGTGAGAGAATCATATTAGAAGAGTGCTTTTCAACCCACCCAGTATTCTAATTTGATCTGGTAGATGGGAATTTATTTTGTCGATGGACAAGGTGTCTATTGGCAACTTCGCAGCACACACTTGACCAGCGGCTGACACATTTTTATCGGTCTTTGAAGCGCGTTGAAAATGAATCTGAACAATTTTGATAGAATTACGACATTGGGAAAAAGACAACAAATACGAGAATTGTTGCAACTAACCATCGACGGGGTCTTCATGTGTTCTTCCAAAATATACCCAGAGTTATAGAGTGCAGACATTAACTCGCCTTCTATCGTCCGAAATCCTTCATTTCTACAGAAGTCCAAGTACGCAGCTTTGGTTTCGAGCACTTCAAAGGAAGCACACTTTAGGAAAAACCACTCACCTTTGCATTCCAAAATAACCTGTACCCGAGTACATCATGAGCATTGCACAGTTACGAAACCCACGTGCACTACTATTTACAACTTGGTCGAATTTTGCGACCTTTGCACTATGAGAGATTTCACCATCAGGTTGCTCGTGACGTTTCATCGCAGATATGACGTGTCTAGCTCTCTTGAATGACTGCGACAGAATGCTTAAAATATACCGGATCCCTAAGGGCATATATTGTCTAATCACGGAGACCTAGCTCCTTTTCACGCTTTTCTTTTTCTAAAAGTGCTTCAGCGTACTCTTTTCGTTGAAGTTTGTAAATCCTGTTACCAAAGAGGTAGTGCTTGCCAAGTTTGCAAAGTATGTAACCAGTTAATCCAACCCCACCGAAAAACGATAAAAGAACAAATGACTTGAAGCTTATATCACGTATTCGACTGGAAAGGCTAGGACGATAAGCGCGAGGATGACCTGGCATAATCACAGCGACATCACACACCGATACCTTAACCACTGACCAATGGGTTCAGTAGCTCATTTTGATTAATCACATGTTTAGAGCGCCAAAGTTAAAAACTTTTTTATTACCTAAAATTCAAGGACAGAAAAATTAGGCTACATCTATGAAGTACACTAGCCGTTACTTAACATATATTTACTGTGTCTACACTGCTTAAGTTCCTTTTAAAATACATGCATGGTGATTTTTAGACGTTATTTTAGGTCTGGGATATCCTTTTAATTGTCAAATGCTTGCCTAAAATTTGAAAACCTGTAACTGAATAGGTCTAGCTATATCATTGCACTACGAACTCGATGAAAAGCAACATATCAACCAATGTCGCAATCATACTCAAACAGCCTTGCATCCAAGCCGAAAGTAATAGCTGAGGTGGCCAACTAGTTCACGTGATTAGAGATATAAAATCACTGCAACACATTATTAGGCAATATCTTTATACGCGCGTTTTACTAAACTGCAATAAAGAGTCACTTATTATTTGTTTTTAAAGCACAGGGATTTACATTAAAATAATTGACACCGTGGCACACTGAGTTGCTCCTAAGCTTGTAAGAAGTCATGGCACGCTGAGAGAAGACGTATGACGGAGGTGTGGGAGAACTGAGAAGCTACTGTCATGGCCCCGTGATCATTACGCCGAGCAATTGTACAATGGCGGAGCCTTAGGTGCCCGTGAAGCCAAATCGCAAATTTAAACCCTCCAAGCATTTCAAATACACCCTAGGCATTAGAAAAATAGAGCCATTTTTATACCAATAATATTCATTCAGATGGGGATATAACCCTGAGGCGCCGAAGACCTACTATACCATACGCACTTTGCGCCCCTTGTTTTTATCATAATGTAAGGTAGTAAACGTACTCGATAACCGGAAGAAGTTTGGTCCGGACCCCCTACCCTGGGTTGCGTAATTCGCCCATGACCCACTCATAGGCTTGTCCCCATAATCCGTAAGGATCAATGAGGCCATTAGGAGCAGCTTAATCTGAGAAAACAGCGAGGTTAAGGAGCAGTATAGAGCACAAGCTTAGTTTTCGTAAAATCACCCCGTTAACTAACACCGTGACCCATTTCGAGCACGACAGGGCCCCCTCGATCAATTCCCCCAGAAGAACTCCCAACCTTACACCCGCAGGATATTACTGCCTCTCAATGGAAGTGAGACATACAGTGGTAGGACATAATTGCATTTTCTTTCAAATGTCTATCAATAATTCCGTCTGACAATTGCATTCATGCAAAAATAGCAAACGCAGAATAGATGGGAAAAATTGGGGGTGGAGCTAGTCGCTGACTCAACTAATCTGCCCTCCAAGCATGGAGTATCGATCGACATTGGAGAGAGGCTGTTTGACAGACGCCTCGGCAGCTACCGCTGTCGTCTTTTCATCCTCGGTTAAGGGAGAGGGAGGCGACGGCCGCGAGGCATTCTTCATCCCCTCCTCTACCTTAGAAGCCGGGGAATTCACCACTGTCGCCGCTGCCTTCCCCCCTTTCGCATCCGTCGCAGCCACCTCCTCGTCGCAAAGAAGATCCACATCTACTGCATCTTCCAGATGTGCCGTCTCGTCGTTGAGGGTAGAGCTCAGCTGCTCCAGGATCAACAAACTCGATGTTTCGTTCTCCGTGTGCAATCGACGGCGCGAAGTGAAGTGTACGTGCTTTTCCGCAACTTCACCAGCCATAGTCGATGCTTCTTTACGACTACTTGGAGAGGTTGGTGATTGCAGCGATTGCTCTTGCGGTTGCGCAGATATCGAGGCGACATCGTCCAGACTGAAGCACCGTCGTCGGCGGTGACTGCGGTGGATATGGGAAGGAAGCCGCATGCGATAGGGTATGGTCTTCCAAGATGAAGTAGATAACGGAACAAGAGGGGAATCTGAGGTGGGATGGTGTGGCTCTTGGCGTTGCTGGTGGCTGGGGATTGGCTCATAAAGTGACGAGGTGAAGGAGTAGGAGGTGGTACTGCAGGGCGATAGGCCCAGTTGATTGGGCGAATCCAGCGTGCCTGCTCGTTTTGGGGAGGTGGAGGGCGAGGGCAATTCTATAAAACTCACCAGAAAGAAAGAAACGCTTGCAACAACAACATGGGATGTAGGGAATGTACTGATCAAATCACGAGAAGACAGCACAGGATGGTGTAGTTTCGTGGCGATAAAAGCGTAAAAAAAATAAACGTAAACGGACGTGGGACTGAGACCTGAGGCCTGAGTAAATTGTTGGCGAATCCAGGAGCAGAGATAAAAGGGAAGAAATGCGTACGCACATGAAGATAGGTACTCAACAACGATAGCAAGCTGAGAAAGTGCACGACGTACGGACAATCCTCCTATGGCAGACCTGCATATCATCGGCATCCATGAGAATGTGTCGAAAACGGGCCTCTTTATCCGACGGTGGCGTCTTCAAAAAGCTCCTCTGCCGTAACCACCCCGCAGATGTGTCGGTGGAGAGGCTCTGCAGCGAGCAAAAGTCCTCCTCCACCTCGTCCGCAATGTTGGTTTCTTCATCATCACCGGCAGTAGGGTTGGTGGCGACGGTGGCTGCAGATGGGCATTCAGTCACAACGACAGAGGAGACGCAATTGGTGTCGCTATGGGACCGACGCGGCGGCAGCCGTGGCATCGCTAACTGACCCTCATCTCGCGTTGGTTGATCGTAGCCGGTATAGGGAGGGTAAAAAATGCTCGTCTTGCGCTTGACCTCCACCTCGTCGGTGGCTTCAATGACTGCACTCCTGCCACTGGATGCAGCGGTGGCGACAGAGGTCTTGGTCGAAACGGCTGAAACAGTGGTTGTGGTTGCTGTCATCGAGGCCTCCTTGGCCAGTTTAGCAGTCATCATTTGAGTGTAGGCTTGCACGTGGGCGTAGGCACGGTTCAGCAAAATGATGTGGACTAACACTTTTAACGCGAATAATCTGGAAAAATTGAAAGGGAGTAGAAAGCAATTGTCGGTGGTTGTAGAAGACAAATCCCTCATAGGATGCATCATAGTTTGCATGCAAATGGATTGAAGTGGAAATTTCCGTCCCAAACAGAGGAAAAACCAACGCGAATTCCGCTTACAGAGGCAGAGCGAGGAGAAGAAATATGTAGATCAATGAGGATTTGACAGTCTGAATGATCATCACGTTGATGAGGCAGCTCAGCGATATCGGCGTTAGACCCATGCGTCGGGCAAGGAGTTCAAAATAGTCGGAGGTGTTCTGCGCCAGAGACAACGATGAGTAGTGAGGTAAGATACTAAATTGATTGCTACCATGATGAAAGTTTACATGATGGATTAAGAATGGATTTTGATGTGTACGAAACCAAGCGATTAAAATTCTCAAGATTGCCCAAGATAAGAAGGCACACGGCAACTCGTGGGAATACATGAGTTATCACTCCTGAATTTCCAGTTCCCCATTGTGTGCTTGAAACGAGGGTACAGTAACTGATAAAAATTTGATAGACACTGAGAGATACTAGCAACAAACAGCAAAGTGCTTAAGCCCAGTATTTAAAAGATCGAAAAATGCACAACCCCGAATTTCGCTAAAAGTGGTACACAGCAAATTCCTTTGGATCAAAGGGAAAGCATATTGTCTAAAATTCACATTTAAAATGCACAATTTAGTCAAGTTAATAAGCAATAAATAAAATAGGTGGGAAACACCAACCAACCTTGCCTTGTCGACATAGCAGAAGGTCATACGCGATGCTCACCGTGTACTCCTCATACACCTAGACAGGAAAAATGATTAAACACTTCGAAAAATCGGATTAAGATGAAACCAGCCTAGCGACTGATAGAGTAGGATGTTTCAAAGAGAAAGTGACATTTAAAAGTTGGATTTCCGGAGGTACAATCTTTCCAAAAAAGCCCAAATTTGATGGACTACTTATGCGAGCCGTTAGTTCCCACTTTGAAATTGGTGTTATAGTTCGTATAGACAAAGGCAGAGCTTCTTAACAAAACATAGCATGAATTCAATTAGGCAAGGTTAGAACTTTTACTTCGGATGGATTATCGAATTGCAAAACAAAGGATCATGGTGTAGCCGTCTTACCACCTCGTAGTAGCAAAACTCTAGGTTGGCTTATAACCTGTTTGTTCCTTAACGGCGTTGCAAATTACATTGGTTGTTACTGCTCAATGAGACCATGATTCTGTTCAGTGAGACCGTGTGAGTATCAGTTGTCAATGTGTATTTTAATTGATTGGTGAATTTTCAGATAGATTTTTAGGGAAAACCTGAGTGCCTCAAACCTTAACACATTCGATATTAGGATCTCAGAGCAAAATCGACCAACACACTCCACAAAGGTGTGGCCGGTTCAAAGTTCTGACGCTTGAAAAAAAATTTGCTGTAGAATGTCCCTGGTTTGAGGGCAGCTGCTTTTTCAACTTAACCAATCCGTGTGCGACACGATTTTGTGCAATTAGTTACCATGATCTGATGAAAAGTACATTAACATGATCGGAAAACGGGTGACGAAAACGTCAAAACGTCACTGACACAAGAAGCAAGTTTTTTTTAGTTTTAGACCAGTACTTATGACACTTATGTTTGGCCAAATTACAACAGGTCTTTGGGCGGCAAACGCAATCATTCAGGTTCTTATGGCATGGTTATGCTCCCTTGCCAATTAATATCTGATTAAACTTCTACCTACAGGCAGAAACGCATGTCTCAAATACGAATCATATTAAAAATGAGAGCATATTTTACTCACATCAGAAGCAATAACATTGAATTTAGAGATAAAAGCGTGTTTGATCCAATCAACAGCGATCTCGGCCAGAAGAATTAGCAGGATATCGGGCAGAAGAGCCAGGAAGTCCTCTGGAAGTAAGTAAAATAGTCGCATCAAAGCAACATCGGTGGGACAGCTGACATTTAAAAGGACTTCCAAATGCGGCTGCATACAAAGCTCAAATAGAGGCAGAGCGGATTTCAGTCAAAATGTCAGCCACATTTCTGATTGCTATGACGTATTTGTAACAGCGAGGAATTCGTTCGGGGATGTTACCTCTTCATATTACGACAAAGATATGCAGTGGGTCAGCTAGGGTCGGTTTTCGATGGGGTTGTCCAACTCACCCACATCAGACCAAATTGGTTGAAGTGATTCCGTTCAAAGCGCAACTAACGCCTCGCACTTCTGCACACTATGCTGTTATTAAAACCCCATGCATCAAAATTGTGAAATGGCATTCACACAATTCCTTACGTCTTCGAAAACAAGGCTACCTTAACACAAGCGTGACTGGTATTCTACAGATGTCGCCTTTTCAGACTATAATCCACTTCAACCTCAGAAATGATGAGATGGGTAAAATTGTAGTAGACTTCTTTTTGCCACCCACAATATTTTTATGAATAAACAAATCGTCTGTGAAACAGAATTCAAGTCTCCTCTTGGTAAAAGAAGCACCTTTAGTTTTCACAATCAGTTTATGCAACTGACATCGGTAAACCCGAGGCAATGTCGGAGGAATCAGAGGAGACAACAATTCAAGAGAACATGAGCCTGAGGAAAATCTTATTCAATCTAGATAATGGGGCAAAATGTTATGCATTCTACATCACAAGGACTTAGCACACGAGGGTTTTAATTACATGCATGCTGGTTAATTTAAATTGGTTTGATTGGATATCACTTCGAGGATTTCTAAATGTAAAAAAGAAATGCTTTTTTTGAGCAGTCGGTTCTGGTTCTTTATTTTTTACAGATTTATTGAGATAAGGAATCCTCTTGAAATGAATAGATAAAATTATCCGTTATAGGGCTGTAAGTAACTTCGATTACGCCTATCGCGAAATCTTCCACTTTTTAGTTACACCAACGAAAGTAATGCATGAATTTCTTAGGCAACTTCACCTACTGTAAAGTATTTCGTATTAAACACTGCGATCAATGACTTACTAGAAAACCCTTTTATTTGACTAAATGACGGTTCCATGAACAAAAAATCAGAACGAGTATTAGTGGTTACTACAGGAGTAGTGGTAACCTACCGTACTGCCAGCCGCTGGCAGACATGTTGCGACAGACGATGATGAAAAGCCAAACGGCGTAGTGGAAACGTTCGCGCACGTCGGCGCAGGCGATCTGGAACAAATTCGACTTCCCCATCTTGCGAAAGACATTACCCTTCAACTCAACAAACTGCAACGGTGGAAGAAAAGATAAATGTAGACATGTATTTGTTAAAATTTCAGCCATAAGGCGAGGGCATCAAGCTAGTGTAATAAACATCGGTTAACTGAATATTGGGAAAATTAACACCTAGGGGAGGAATTTATCAAAGTCACAGACTAGTCAAAGCTTAAGCATAAATTAAAATTGTAATAACCACATTTTTTAATAAAATTTTTCGGACGAAATCAGGAAATTTGTGAAAAATACGTACAAAAGTCAATAACGATAAGTAATAAACAGGACCATACCTACTCAGTGTAGCCACGGAGAACTTATGTGTGCGATTAGACTACTTAAGCCATGAAAATTAGAAACAAATGTGTCAACAGTTTGGTCATGACCGATTGCAAACCATGCATAGGCAAATTGAGTTAGAGCTTTAAAAGACCAAATACCATAGAAATATGATGAGATTCGTCAATCTGCGACTCTGCAATAAGCAAAGCATCCTGCTTGATTCCAAGGTGCTAAAAAAGTGCTCTTCGAGTACTTATTCATCAAGTGGGCCATCGACCCAAAGGAGACTAAAAAAAATATAAAGCAAATAAAAAATAACCCAGCAGCAAACTAAAACGAACGAGATATGCATCAAGGAAACACCATTTATCAGATAGCTATGCATTAATACAATGACTTCATGTGATAAGTGGACGCTTTACAACTGCACCCGGTTGTCTATGCACAGCATCATGCAACATAAAGCTGCGGCAGTCTATCGTATTGGTGCGGTGCTCTACACTGTACTCCCTACCACTTTCCTCCCATTTTGAATCCACCCCTGTATCATCACTTGTTGACTAAATGAAATTCAAGCGTGTGATTCAAGCTTGCCTGCTCTACAAACTGAATTTAACGCCGTTTCAAAGTTGCAGGATCTTCTCAAAAAATGTACATAGCACTTGGAGAAGGTCAGATGTGTAGTAGCAGAAAATACCACCACGAAGCGGTTTAAGCAGTTTGGGTGATTTTAAGTGACAAATCACTCGAGAGAATGCAGTACGTTCAGGACGACCCCTTTTTTGGGAAAAGCAAAGAATTACGTGCTGCTATTGTCGCAGTGTGTCAGGGGAGAAGGATATTGGCCAGCCTCATCCTCCGCATTCTTCCAATGTTATCCAAGCAATCTTTAGGACACCTCATCTTGAAATCAGCATTGAACAATCCTATGATCACATGTGAAATCAAATGAACAGTTGGAAAAGGGTGAAGTAAAAAAGCTGCTAGGGTGCGATTTTTTGGCTTCTAGAAAAATTTCGTTTCACAAAGAGAATTCGGACCTAGCTTGTGTTTCAGTGGGGAGGAAACGCCTTTTCCAATTATTTGAGTTTCAACAGAAAAAGTTGCAAGAATTCGGTCGGTTATAGTGTGCAATTATAAGTGTAGCTGAATCCCAGATATGACAAGAGAAACATAGGCCTTCCTTTCCAAAATCTTGCACGCTACGATTCCTCCACTTACAACGCCATTTAAGGTCGAATGTTATGGTGTTTACCTGACCACAACTACACGATAAATCAGTTGACCGGATGTACTTCCAGCAGTAGACAAAGAGTTCAATAACATGAACTTCATTGAATTGAAATATAGTCCAGATGCAATTCCATAGTAGCGTCTTTCACGTACTCCAATATGCCCACATTTATCATCAATCGTGAAAAATATGCCATTTAAAACATTTTAGGGTACCATTGTTCGTTTTAGTCCACAAGTGGAAAACTAGATGATTTACTTGGGATGGGCTGCATGATGCCGTTGTGTCTGACAATACGAAACAGTGATGCTGAATCCGACAAGTTTGAAACAGTAAGCCATCTACCAGAAGTGCTAGTAATGGGTTTCATCCAAAATGTACGAAGGTAATGGAACCGAAACAAATTCCACTTTGATGCAGATTTGATATTAATTTCGAAACAGTTTAATAGGCCTTTTTAACTAAAACTAACATCCATTATAACCACAAGAAGCAGATACCGTTATGTACGAAAGCTTGTTTTGTAAAAGCAAAACACTAAATCCTAATGAATTACCAAAGACAGTGGCCTCGAACTATCTATGATATTTAAGAGGGAAAACGTCGTTTAGGTGATGAAAACACAAAACAAACGCTATAAGAGGGTAGTAGATTCAATCAGGAAGAGGTGGATTCGGTGGCCCTAAAAAGGACAAGGGTCAAGGTCCTCTGTTAAGCAGCGGGAGGTGGTTAACAGATTAAGCTTGAGACTCCCTGAAGACACCCATCAGGTTGTGAGTGGAATGGGATTCAAATTTAAGTGAAACACGCGACCTTAGACAGAGCTCATGGATTTTTCCAGCAACTTTTCAATTAATAAAAGTGAGGAGATATGGGGTATGAAGTTCACTAAGACTGCATCGTTGAAGGGAATGTCCAAGGCTTCGAAAAAGCTCATTTTACGTATGGTCTACGAAACTTTGGCGCTGAGTAAATAAGAACTTTAAGTTGTTCGCATTTTTTCTCTGTCAATCGTGATGCACGGCAAACAGAACTAAGGTCCCTTTACCATATGAATGTGACTACGCACATGAATATCATCATTAAACACTAGAGTAATCCACGCATTTCCAACAATTTAAAACAAATAAATGAAAAAGATCGTGAATAGGATATATACACATTTAAACAAAACAATTGAACTCAGACCAACAGAAAATCTGGTTCGATATTGGAAATTAAGCAATTCATTTTTTTAAAAAAATAACAGCACTACTATCATCCAAGAGTCAGCCGCAAGAAAAACGTCAGCTGGTTCAAGCAAAAGCAGAACCAGATTGGTGTTTCAAAATCCTAAAACCTGATATTTTAGACTCAATGGCTTTAGGAATGGATTAAAGTGTAAGGAACGGTGCAAACTCACGTTGTTAGAGATAATCACAGTAAGGAGGGAGCGGTTTTGTGAATTGAAGGCCACATTCAGGGTTGTCACCTGTGCCAACAGCAGAAGGCAATGTGCAGCTGCAGTAAAAACGAACAAAGGCAAAAGTTTACTTTTTTCTCGATTTTATTGGGCTTTCAAACCGCCTAATCCAACGGGATTGAAAAAAACGACAAGAATTTCTTCCACAAAACTTTTTAGGGATGGAGATTCAACTTAAATTAACACAAATAACTGACGACATGTAGACGAACTACATGGACACGGAGGATTGCAAAATACAAATGGTATTTAAATCAAGCCAGAACTTTTAATTTCACGGGTACATGCTAGTCAAGAAAGCAGGCAAATGTAGTTATGAGTACATGCATTCAACAATGCAGTGATGAAATGTCTTGTAAAGGATGCGAAACTCGTAGTGAGGGGACACTCGACCACACGACTTAAATAGTTCAAAGACGGCTGTATGCTAGTGACGATACCAATCGTAGTGGTTTCGTCCCCAGCTCACATAAGAGCAGCCATTCCTGTGAACATTTAACCAGTACGTGGAACACCTAAACGATACAACCCACCGTGAAATTGCACAAGAGACTACTCTTTCTGTGAGAACGGTGGATATAATCCATGAACATTTCCCATTTCAAGAAGGTCGTGAACGCTGAGCATCGAGACACCTTTCTACTTTGGACCAACACAGAGGGGCCAAAAGCTGCATTTGGGTAAAGCGTTTTAGCAAGACCAGGATTTCCTGCATGCCATCACACGCGACGAAACGTAGTTCACTAAAAGAACGCCATGAATTCCAACATCGATGACGGATTTAAGTACTATCCTACAAATGTTCAGTCGTACTGATGAACATTCGCGTTATTTAAGCACAGGAATAAGTGCATAAACATATTAGAAGAATACGGCAAGAAGCAAACGCAAGTTGCGTACCTTGAAATGCATTCTTTCCCTTTGTAACCACAAAAGTCCCTGTTTGAATTAGATGACCCTCATAATTTGTAAGGTTTGTACTTCCCAAAAGATGTGATCTGTTTACTATTGAAACCAAGGCTACCTACTGTGGCACGTGCATAAGGGTAATCTCGAAAATAAGATTTGCTCATATCGCCTAAAAAAGACCGCATTCCAGATGCACTTTGCTAAAAAAGTTGCTAGTCGAACAAATCGACCTGACAAATAGAAAAAAACAATTAGTTTTACTTAATACAGCATTAACCTTGGTTCGTGGGACATTCTTTGGTACGACAACAAACAATATCAAAGGTCGGAAAGGGCACAGCTCGGTCGGTTCTCAGAGCTGTGAACTTTTGAAACAAAAACGCCGGTAGCTTTGAAGTGTATGCCGAAACTAAATAAGCTGCAAGATTGCTTATACAACCAAGTAAACAAGGCAATAATATGAATAAAAGGAAACAAATACAATAGACTGCGATCAATGCCAAACAGTTCGCCAAAAGTTTAGTGGGTAGTGCCAAGATCAAATAAGACTGAGATGCTATTGAAAAACGCTGCCGCAGGCTATAGAGAAATTCGACGAATTAGAAAGTTTCATTCCATGAAAGGTAAAATCAGGGCGAGCAAAAAAAAGCAGGTAAACAGGGTTACAAGCAAACCATTGAATATCGGTTTTGAAAGTAATGCTTACATGATGAAGAAAACTATAATGAGCGCCTACAACCTATGGATTGGCTTATTGGAGAGATAAACTAACAGTTCTGAGATGTAATTTGACAGCCGCGAACGACCTCGACTCTGGGGAGCCACTTTTTGCCAAGTTGATACAAGTCTCAATGAAAAATGCGAGGACAGAAGAAATAAAAGAATAACTGTAAGCGAGCCTTAAAATGGCCACCTATTTGTCAATATAATGTTTGAATGAAGGAACCGGCATCAATACGACTGGAAAAAGTAGTTGTTTGTAACTATATCACTTGATCGTATGGAGCTGCACCACCAATTGTAGGACAAATTTGAGCCTGAAATGAAACAAACTTTACTGTGAAATAAGGTTTTTCACGGTTCCCGGAACCAGATAATCACACGGCTACTACACAGCATCAAGCCTGATTCTAAGTGATGTTGAGTTTCGGAGAAAAAATTTAACCCCTCACTACAGTTTTGTAGAGCACAGAAGGAAACTGAGCTACTATCGCAAATTATCCATCCTGTTACACCTAATTCGAACGTTGTAGAGACTGTTGCACCGGTAAGTGATAACCGCGACGAAGTACTCGAATCAAGAACAGGCGATCATTTGAAATAGGCCAGAAAAACTGCCCATGATTCCAACTACATTAGAACATACGAGGGAAAAACGTCAACGCAAAATATCACGATCCAGGGGGAATTAGCTTTTCAATAATGATTCGACGACTACTCGATGGAAGTCTAACTAGAAAAACCTTTGAAGAAGAGCTGCAAAAGGCCCCAAAGCGACCTGTCTACCCTTGATAAATGTAACCTTAAAGATACGTTTCACATATTTTAAAAGTACTTAATCATAGAAGGATATCTTGCGAAAGACAAGCCCCAGCCCCTACGCAGAAGCTAGAAAGGCATGATTGCTTTAACAAAAAAAGCCTTTCGAGAATTGCAGGGACACCGAAGTAATGCAAATAGTTTAATATTACCGCAAATTAGTTCTTCCCCTCTAGCACATTCTTCTTCCATTGCATCCTGCTTCCCGCATCAATTTTCAGCATCTGCGACACCATATTCGCAGGGCCACTTGCTATCACATTAAACTCTACGACAGTATTTGAAACTGATGAAACACGAGAATATCACGAAGTGTAGTTTACGAAATTATGTTTCAAAAAAGAGTGTGCAAGGTGACAATGAATCAATTCATCCCCTCTGAAGTAGACCTCCTCATTTGTAGCACAGTTCCACCATAAATATTCCTAATCTTTGATACATACCTCAAAAATGGACTTTGGAAGAATCTTGAAAGATAAAAAAATTAGAAAATATGAGTTACAACAAAAGGCACGGTTACCAAACAGCAGGCTGCAGTAATAAAAGACATGGCGTTCAATACGGACTGATCTAGAAGACGTTAAGCGACATTTTTAGCATCGGTGGCTGAGCTGCGGCTTTTCGAGAGAAATGGTGAATAGTTAAGCATTATTTCAAGATTAATAACTGGTGGTAAGCAAAGAAAACAGTAAAAAAGTGTGGCGGTTTCGATCACCGTTTAACTGCATACTATCAGAAAAAAGAAACAGGTGTTTCCAGCACTAATGCCAGCAGAATAATTAGACGAAACTGGTTTTAAAAAATTCAAGCCTTAATTTTTATTGAGGTTCTGATATTCTTGTTAATAAGGGAAAGAGGGGTGGAGAAGATATGGGATAGGATGAAATTAACTGAAAGGAGATCAAATATCACTCCGAATTGAATGTCTCCAATACCTTTCTCAACTCCACAGTTATAAGATCTGACTCACAGAGGCAGGCGAGGGCGAAAAGGTATTGGACGAAGAGAGCTCCAAGACCCACAACCTCTGTGGAAGGGCAAGAGGAAGGGTCAGTAGAAGAGGCACCACTGCTGGTGGTTACCACGTGATCACCCGAGGACGAGCGCTGCCGTCGGAGACCTGAGAGACCTGCCGAGACGGTGAAAAGGACGTCGTCTACAGCATCCAGGTAGACAGCGGAAAGGAGACGATCGGCTACCTAAATGGGAGGATACATGAAATAGAGGCATCATCAACACGCTCATCTATGATCGCTTCACTCATCATTTAAACATTCTAGTCCTTTTTAACCTTTGCTTTTAGTAAAAACCCAGCTCCAGAAGTAAGTGTTGCTCACAGGTTAATCAGTTTTGGACAGAATAGAGCATTGCCAACCCAGCAGATCCATTGAGTGCATCCTAGGCGCCTTTACAGTAAGTTGGTTGATGGGGACTCAGAGTAGATATACACATTTCAATCCACAAAATGGTACACAATTACGCACGATCTGATGCAACTTTGACACTACTACCTGTGTAGTACCTCGTAATCGCAGTAGCGGCCAAAATTCGGATCGTCAAAGGCAGTATACAAAAACTGACCTCGATCCACGTAAATATTTGCACCTTAATGTACTTAGTGATGAATAAACAGACAGAAATCAGTTGACAGTGTGTCTGGGAACATATTTGCACATTTATACATTTCGAACTAGAGAAGAAAGCTTAGGCTAGCTTGGCATCCCTATACAGCGATATTAGTTATCTTCTGCTGTAAAAAAGCTTGGGGGAACATTAATAGCGGCCCTAATTGTAACAATAAAGACCATTAGGAAGTGTGCACTCGCAGTGACCATGGATAACTTGCATGGAATCATTCTGCCATGATCGCAGCAGGCAATTTTTTTCTCCTCATGTTTACATTATCAGCTGACAGTTTCATTAAACATCTTAAACTGAGCTTCTTTATCGATTGTAGCAATCCCCAAAATGACCGATTGTTTCCAGGTAAGAAGACTTACGGCATTAAAGAAGAAAACGAAACGGTGTTCTTAGCCGGCTAATTTTCTATAGATTGCCTCACCAGTAAATACCTGTATAGCCACATCTGACTTCTCTAGAACGGTCTTACAATTTAGCGATACCAAACGCCCTCTTCCATAAAAAATACTTCGGATGAAGAAAAAAAAATGAATTAAATAATGTTAACTACTTTTGTTCCGATTTCCTTGTCATCCTCAATTTTCATGCAAAAACTCACCTATGATATAAATCGATTTGCATTTCCGAAGCATCAAATGTCGTGAATATTCTTCACTTAGGTTCTACGCCCGTGAGACAGGTGTCAAGCTTTTCAGCCCGCAACATTAAAAACACTGCTTACTATATGCAGATAAGGTTAGCCGTTTCACAGTTTTACGCATTCAAACATGAATTCACTTGTTACGATTAAGCGCGAAATGATAGTACAGCAGCACATTAGAGCACTCAACTCAGGCTCTTTAGTGGGAAAACTTACCTCCAGGAGGTTGAAGAATATGTAAATCTTGATTATTGACTGAGTTCGAATTTCATGATAGGCGATGGAACTGTCGAAGGTGTAGAGGAAGATGGTGCAGATGCAGACGAAGGAGAATTTCACCAACTCCCGTGCATCTGTTGCATATAAAATGAATTTTTGGGGTCTGAAAAACGCCAAAAAGGCTGTTCTTTGGGCACGTGACAGCTTAGAGAGGGTGGAAGGAAAGAACAATCAAGGAAACCTACTTGAGCGACGGCACACAGATACCAACAAGACTGAAGGTTATAAAGGAAAGAAAGGAAATGAAGTTGATCATACAGCGTAAAGGAAGGAAAGTGTAGACCATTAGAATATGATCCAGGCACTGCAGAAGGCCGTAGAACATGAACTAAAAGTGTGTAAAGGATAGATATTAGCATAGAACCTAAAGAGAACGGAAAAAGGAAGGGAAAGAGAAGATATGGTCTCACCGACTCAAAATACTGTGGGATAGAGAGGAATTTCCACACACGATTGCGGAAAGGTCCACAAATCTGTTCTTGAAAGTTATTCACCTCGTTGAAACGTCGGGAGGACTGCCAGATTTCCTCTCTTAGGTAATTCCTGAGATTAAAATCTGGCAAAAGTACAATGCATGAAATACCTTACGACATGAAAAAGAAATTCAAAGTTAACGCATTCTTAAATCTTACTGATAAGAACAGCAGTAGAGAAATAGCAAATGCTGTTTTAAGCCACTTAATCTCATTTTAAGTTTAAATGATTTGTTGTACAAACGACCCCGCCTACATATCATCAGCTGAATCGAATGAAAGAGGTCAGTGGAATATATGCCTTTTGGAGGATGCTCAAGACAACTGGTAAGAGAGGAACTTCATGCAATGCCAAAAGTAGATCAAAAGTGGCTCCCACCTAACGGCACAATTGGCTTGCAAATTCTCCTGCCTTAGTCGTCTTATTAAATTCGATTCACGAATGCTACCAAGCTGGTAGATGAACTTGTCCTTTAGGCTTATAACGCATATTCACTTAAAAGTTGAACAAGCGTTTAAGAGTATGCAAAATCACTCCATTGGTCAAATACAAGCCGGGACAGAAAAAGGAAGTGAACAAAGCTACAATACTGAGCTTACTCTGGAGAGGGTTCTTTATGTCACATTCACTCTCTGAGTCCGTGCGTCCACGCCACGTCTCTTTCGTATCCATTTCCCTTGAAACAGGACACTCTGCACACACGCACATAGACGCACAAACCTTGAGAATGATGAATGCGAAGCACACACTCCACCAATACATATTGGACAAAAAGCAAACAAACGACATGCATTATAAGAAGTCTTTATTGCCAGAAAACGTGTACAACAAGCATCGAGGCCGCAGAGGTTTTTCACTGACCCGCCTGATTACGTAGAAGTGCATAGATGTTCTCCTTGATCCAATCCTTGGTATGGGGCACGTAGGTACCAGTGGCAGGATGGAACTCCAAGCAACTGAGGTCAGCCAGTTGATCAATGAACTTGAAGAGTTGTGAGATGTCGTAAGTGATTGTGGGCGCCGTGGGGTTCTGCTGTTTAAGCTGCTCCTCGTATATCTTACATACGCCCTCGAGGCACTGATTCAACGTCTCGTAGTCCGCCCAAACTCGTGACTCCGGCTTCTTTACTTGCTGCTGCACCAAAAGTATTGTGTGCGACATCTAGGGAAGCAGAAAACCCACCCTTATTACAAACACTACGGACAAGACATAACTAACGAAGCATGAATATACTGTAAGAATAATCAAAACGTAAGATTAACAAGTAGAATGTTTTCTATTATTGAAAATAATGACAATTAGTATCTATCACAAGGAGACAGGAAGGAAGAAAGCGGGGAGAAGCAAGAACTGAGCGAAATCAACTTAGCAGGAGCAAGCGAGTGTGGTTGTAGGATGAAAGCCAGTGAGAAGCGACAGCCCATTGTGGCAAACGGTGCAAAATTCGGCGCATCGGATCGGACACACCTTGGGGGACACTTTCATCCATATACTGGCTGACTACAGCAATGTCCACACCAACATTAGAGTCGGAGAGATCAGGGTTGAGTGAGACAGGGTAGACGGAAAACTGGAGCCAGAAAACCCACGGCTGAGCCCATTGACCTGTCCTTGAGGTGGCCACTGAGGGGTCAATGTGGTTGATGTAAAAGTGCGCTGATCTAGGTCCATCGGCATCGGTTTGGTGGGACGTTCCGCGTGGAATCGGCACAGGCTGGGGACAAGCCTGCTCAGGAGCGAATGACCAACGAGTGAGTCGGACATAGTCAGGCGCAGTTCGTAGATAGAGCTGGGTGAGTGGAGCACTCGAGTCAATGGAAACAGTAAGATTTACCAGTTGAACACCATCAGACGAGGCCTCCTGGTGACGTTCGGTAATTGCGAAACCGGTTGAAGGCGAGTTGTGCTTCGGAGCGGGAATATAATAGATGGTATCAAAAGCATTCAATAGGGGGTAGAGTACTGGCACGCCACAATAGGGCACAGTGTGATGGAAAGTAAATGGCTCCATCTGCTCGATTTCAGGGAAGTAGAAAGTCTCTGACGGTTCAGAGGATAAATACTGCTGGAAACGAAGCATGAAGGGGTTCGGAGCTGGAGAGGGTGGATGGTGGTAGTAGCGGAATCGGTTAGCATCCAGTGGAAAAATGAAGAGACCAGAGTCCTCGCGGGTGACGGTCGAATTAAGAGGGCTTTCACTGAACCAGCGATTAGTATGAAAAACAGCAACGCGTTGTTGACTAGGCGGCACCAAATGTCGGTTGTTATCAGGCATTACAGTGTAGGGGAAACCCAGGAAGGAAGTATGCACAATAATAATGAAACTTATGCATCCGTTGATTGTAATTCGTCGAAGTACACGAGAGGTTTCAGACGATGTTAGATGAACAGAATCCGCGCAAAACATCAGTACAGGGACAGACGAAAAAGCCACAAGGCCGCCTATGATAACATCCGGTTGTGCTTCATGCCCAGAGCGACCCATGATAGGTATGAAAACTTCAAAGAGTGTATATACGGAGGAGATGTGAAATATTACCAAGGGAGGAAGAAGCACCAAAAGAACTTTGGCAACATAACAAACACCAGTCCTTCCAAACATCATAAAATAAATGAAGCGAAAAACTGTAGCGAGAAGGCACCAAAATAGGGGAACGTAAGACGCAGGGCTATTATAACACAGAGCGATTAAAGTCATAATACTCATGACAAGAACGCTGCCTTTAAAAAAGTCATTTTCGATAACTAGAGTCTTAATGGAAGTAGTATCGAACCATAGGCTGCGTTGAAGCAAATATCGCAATCCGGGTAAGTGCCAAAGCGAACCAGATGGAATTTTTAAAAGTACGGAATGGTAGAATAAGAAGTAGGAAAGCAGTGGCAGAAGATAGAGACCGAAAAGATTGCACTTGTTGGTGTACCACGACATTCGACAACCGTACATATGAATCACGTAACCAACAAGAAGAGAAAAGAGATGACCAGTGATAAAAAATAGCGTCTGGATTAAGGTTGCGAGGAATAGACCACTGTGGCTACCGCCTCCAGACTTCTGGGATAAAAAGATCCAAAGCAGAATTACAATAAAGACACTCCAATGAATCATTCGACCGACAAACCACGGGTAGCTCAAAATAAAATACCCCAGCACGTCAAAGTACACATATCGAGCAAAGTTAGACTCTACTTGAGCATTGGAAAAAGCGTGTATGTTGCCCAAGCCACCCTCAGGAGAGAAAATTATTTCATTTTCCACTTTTGGCTCATTTGAGCGTTCCAATTTCTTCATTCTGTTAACGCTGGGATCCTGAGCCATCAACTTGACAAGCTGCAAAAGATTATCTCCAGCCAAATGCAAACACGATGGCGAAATGCGTTCTTCGATATCATGACATGTGTGGTATGCATACCCATTGCCAATGTAGGCTAGATCCAAACCCGGAATCAACCCATAATCTCTAAATATTCGAAAATCCGTATCGGATGGAATGAAGCCAAAATGAAACACCTCCTCTCCCACCACAGAGGCAAATGGATAGCGAGCTGTAGATGAGTAAAACTGAATGAGAGCTGAGCTTGCTGGTCCGGGGCCACTTTGAAAGACCAGCAGTTTGCCACCAGCCCCCGCGCCTTCCAGATTGATGAAGACAGCCACTTCTTCAGCCCAGGGATGCTGTGTTATGAATGCATGGCTGGCAGGCAGAATATTCTCTTCGGCAGAGTTGAAGAGGAAAATAATGTTGTTCCTTAATGTAGTGCCACCACCTGCAAGAATACGAGCCACTTCGAGAGAATTGGCGCATCCAACAAAGGCATCAGATGCACCAGGGCTTTGCGGAGCCGTGTCGTAATGACAGTTAACCAAAACCGAACGTGCGGCCGAATCGCCTTTGACGCGAGGATCACGCAAACGAAGAAGGAGATTCGGAATGTTAGCGTAAGATGTTATGTGAACATGGGTTTTAAAGGATGATGGGCGAGCGATCTGTTCATCGAGGTCAGCGACGAGCCCAGAAGACTGGGCCAATTCAACAACCTTCTGGATTTCAGATAGGAGGTATTTTCGAGCATGAATTTCATTGTTAATCGAACCGCCGGTACGGGGGCCCAACCTTGTAACATACTGTAGATGTTTTCGGGCAAAGAGCTCCTGAAAGGTGGAATTGGGGTCAGTTCCACTGGGGACAAAGTCTCCGCAAGAAGTTGAATGCAGAGGTATAAAAACAACCAAGAATAATATAAGGCCAAAAACCACAACCCAATCCCATAAGTGAACTGATGCTTGAGGATGGTCTACGGCGAGCAAGGAACGACTCTCCGTATCGCTGCCGGATGTGGTCGAAGAGCCGGTATTCTGTGATCCTTCTGAGACCAAATTCCTCCTCCGCACTTCCATTATAAACGCCGGATCATATCAAAGCCCACAGATAGAACAGCGCAGAAATGGGCGCCCAAACAAGACTCACAACTAACAACCGCCTCAATTGTTTTAATTAGCGGTCAATTGTGTCAGTTACTTGCAAGAAAATAAAAAGAATGTTGAGAAAATGCGCATATTAAAAATAAAATATATTAGACAAAATCCAAAGTCCTCTAGATATCTATGAACATTATGAAAGTCGTATTCCAAAACTTGTTGATGATAACGCCTAGTTGCGTTAAATAGGAAATTGAGTCATTTTTTATACCATTAGGATAAAGTTTTTGCTTAATTACACTGATTTACTAATATGGTGACAGATCTATTTGCTGGATAAAACTTTACTAAAACTTGGGACGAACATAGTAAGGTTGCACTCTACAGATTGTTGCGCCTTACTTTTCCTCGATTGTTTGCTTGCTTTATTTTAAAACAAAGTATTTGTCACCTTTGAAGTTTGATTGATCTTCATTTGATAACTGTTCCGCAGACTCCTTCAGTCTCAAGGTGTACGCTCATTTTATTCAAAAATGCAACGACTTGCGGAAATAAGTGTAATACTTATGTTGTTTTAATGTACCTTTCAGGGAGGAGGCAATCAGGAAATTCGAGTCTCGTGACCGGATCGTCCTCTCCCTCACCTAGTGACTGCGGCTCCCCTCCTTCTTGAACATTGTATCTTTCCTCTCCATCTTGTCACCTTTAATAAAGATGTCCAAAGCTAATCAACCGGGCTTGTCTAGGAACGCTAGGAATAGGGAAGCGGATACCGATGAGTTTCGCTCCACATAAGAGCCTGACATGCAAAAAATCAAAATTTCTGATTGAGTCAATTATTACACTTGGTAAGATGTGCCACGTCAACTAAAACATGTCTTACCTTAATCTGCTACGCCTCACGGCATTCTGTTTCAAACTTTGTCTCCCTAAGCAGGTGCTGATGTAAAATACCTTTATGAATGTATTAGTAGTGCTTCAAGTCTTCCTGGAAGTCGGGAAAACACTTTCAACTGTACAGAGCAGTTAGTAGGTTATTGGTATGCCCCTAGGCAATGCCGCTTGAGTAAACATACAGCCTAGCTAAAAATTGTCAAAGCGCTATGTCCGTTAGTTCATTTTCCACAAGTTTAACATGTCAGTCGTTCAGTACCGTCAGTTGGTACTGCAGCATGCACACATTCTTCGGTATCTCAGATTAGACGCTGTCCCTCTCGCTGATAATAAGCATGGCATTACCAGACAAATTGAGTTTTTGCAAGTTGTGACATGCGCATACACTGATTCCCGCCCACAGGTTACTCATCACTAAAAGTAAGGGGGATTTCGAGGTTGAACGCATTGCATTCGAGGATAACTTTCCAGAGAATACAAAAAGTTTGTCTTGCTCACCTTGGCCAATCAATTGTCATGATAGCAGATTTTGAACAGCTAGACACAACTCATATCAGAGCTATAGCACAAATGATGCAGAAACTACTAGTATTGGCTCAGTTTTGAACACAGAATCGTCCTCTTGTCCTAAATGATACTCCGTACCTTACAAATAGTGAAAGTTGTTTTCCAGATTCGCAAAAGTAGTTGACAATTCCGAATCTGAATCAACTACAAAAAGTGGATAGCACGACCCTCTGGTCAATGAATCCGCGCCTTTTTGCTTATAGTGTAGTTTTCGACTAGGATAATATTAGGTCTCAGGAGCAGCTCGAACTGGCCAGGTATGACCGGCTTCGGTTATCAATTCCATTGGAAGGCAAAAATTCTTACTAAAGCTGCCTAGCTACCACATTTTACAAAACAGGATAGTCCCATCTAGACGAAATGGATGACATGAAAAGGGTTTTTCCAAACATGTCAGTCACTTTTTACAGAGCATACAACGCTTGCCCAGTGAGGTTCACAAAAAACAAGTGGACGCGATTACAATCAAAAGTGTGCATACTGACGTCTGTAATCGCTTGCCTGGTTATTCGCAGTCATGTACATATACATATTAGTAGTAATGCAACCAAAGGAGGACAGAATCTGTTCACTCAAAAGCGCCTAAGGAAAAGGAAAAGCTTTATTTTCTGTATACACGGAGGTAAGGATCACAGCAGTGATGCTTCAGCGATGTTTTTACACCTTAGTGCTATCTACCTTCTTCGAAGTCCCGGGCGCCTTTTGGCTCGTTTCGCTGTTCTCATTCGTCGCCTCCTTCGTTTCCCCCGCCCGACCCTCCTGCTCTTCCAGAAGGTCCTCCTTCTCGAACATCTCCACCACATCAGATAGCTGACTCGTGTTCAACTCCACCTTCTCCTTCTCAAACATCTCCAGCACCTGAGGGGAAACAACAATGGAATGCAAGCTAGGTGGTGAGACGCCGCATTACCCATAGTAACAGTTCAACTCACCGCTAGCAAGTGTTTGAACTCGATTTTGCCGTCGTGGTCCTCGTCTAGAGCCTCGAGAATGAGTTGCCAGCGCTGGACTGCCTCGGCGTCGCTTCCAGAGGCCTTCTGTAGCCGTTGCAGTGACACCAACACATCGTTGATGTCAACCACGCGCTGCTGATCAGCACGAATGTTCTCAAAGAGTTGTTTTCGTCTCTCCTCGTCCGCCTCAGTCTCGATTGCCTTTGCCTTGCCCCCATGAGCCTACTCACCACTCATTAATAATAGAGGAGAGGGGGGAGAATAGAAGAGCACAAGTTACATACCCGAATCTCCTCCAGAAGGTCCTGCTTCTGTCCACGTAGTTTATCCACCAAGCCGTCGATTTCATCCAAAAGACGGTCCACATGAGCACCCAGACGTTTAACAGCCTTCTCTGTCTTGGCTGCCTTCTTTGTGGCCATCTTCTCCTTCACTTCTGCCTTTGCCGCTGCCTCTGCTTCTTCCCTCGGCGTCATTTCTGGCACCTCCTCCGCTTCTATCTTCTTCTTCACCTCTGCCGTCGCTCCTACAGCTGCCTCTATTTTTTCTTCATCCGATTTCCGTGGTGGTGGTGGTGGAGCCGATTTAGGCACTGCTTCAGCGACAAGCATCTCATCCTTTGTTTCCTTCCCTTCCTTTATAAATTCCGCTACAATTTCGGCCTTCTCCGACTCCTTTTGCTGTTGTTGGCGCAGCTTGACAGCCTCATCAAGGTCGGCCTAAAAGAGAGGCACAAGATGGTGTTAGTGGTAATGGCGTTGAGCAAACAAGCGCAGGAGATGTTCACCTTCAGATCAAGAAGATGTTCCTCCTGTAAGGCCTTCTTTGACTCCTCCATGCTCCCGATGGCAGCTTTAATGCTGTCAAGGTCCTTTGAAGAAACCATCGGCTCTTCTTCGTGCGTCTTTGAAGTCTCCTTCGTCTCCACCCCCACAGGCGTTGCGATCGGTGGTGGCGCTGCTGTGGATGCCTTTCCAGTGCTCATGGATTCGGCGGCATGAGTAACGGTTTCAGGCGCTGTATATGAAGTTTGAGACGGCTTAACTGGCGGCACAATCGGTTCCAAGGACTCCTGCAAAGCGAATAAGTTGGAAACGCTCCCAAGACTATATTCCATCAAGTGTACAACCAGTGCCCCAAACCAAGTTCTCATCAACAGCAGCCGTCATCAAAGTACAGAGAAACATGAAATAAATCAGTTTCTCTCCCTTTTTGCTCCTAGAATGAAAGAGGTGACATGGATTTTACCATCTCCGATTGAGTGAAGACATCAATATGGTACTTACACCAGGTTCACGCAGCCTTAAAGTGACCCTGGGGGGTTTTATCTGCGTACGGAATGATTCTAGTAGAGACGGGAACTAAGGCAGAGCTTGTGTTTAAAGCAGGGAAATCGATTATTGTAAAAAAAGACTTCCTACCTGCAAGGATTTTCCAACCAGTTTCTCCGCCGCATCCTTCACTGTAAACGGAAGAAAAGAAATACTAGGTTACGTGGCTTAATGAAGCTGTTTTTACGCAGAAATTCCGATGCTTAGGCGGAAAATATTAGTTTCTGTTTTTTAATCACCCAGTTAGTTGGTGGCTGGAGCGCTTGCCAACTTTTGTCCCAAGGGGCAGATTTACTTAGTGGCATGCCGTGCAAGAGAGTAAAATGACGCCGGTGAAGTGGATGGCTTCCGCAATTCCCAAAATAATACTTTTGCGCGGTCAGGTTATTGAGGCCACCACAATATAAGAGTAGGAATAAATATACAAACTATTTTTTTTAAAATATGGTGGTTGCAAAGTTAAAACAATGGGAGAGGTTGAGCGAAATAGACAGAAACAATACAAAATCGGATGTTATGCCGAAATTTCCCACCAATTTCTCACCCAAAGAGATAAAGTGTACTGTGGGTTCATCACTAAAGCACAAAAAATGGAAGATGAAAAGTCAAAACCTTTTTTCTCTGATCTTCAAAGCAATCAGTCTAGTTTATTACTTGAAATAGCTCAATGCCTGTTGAAAGTGAAAAAAGTAAATGAGGAGTACGACTTCACAAAACATTACTACACTCCTCAAAATCCCGGTCACTATGATGAACACACAGAATTCTGTTTTGCTCAAATAAATCCTTTCTTAAAATGAGTTTTACAAAATTAAACACTTAATATGCTTGAGCATAAAAGGGACGCGCACTTTAAGAAACCTGGTTGGGACAAGGTATTTTGAATAGACATATATTCGATGGTACTTTTCACTGACCATGGCACAGGTGACGAGTGAAACGTTTCCGGTTATTTAGATAAGTTTTCCGTTATGAATTAGTTGAAGCAGCTTAATTAACCAATGTTTTCTAGTCAATTGGGCGAAATTCACTCTTTTGTATCCATACACAACGTCAACGAAAGATCAAAACCGATGTCTTTCAAAAATACGCAGTGAAATCAAACATTCCATCCACGCTGAAATTCGCATGAATGACACGAATAACCGTTATAAAAGTCCGATTTGCACTTCCAAAAAAAAAAAAACAAGACGTGAAGCTCAACCGCTAAAGCGGGAGTATGAACCTATACACGCATAAAATTTTAGCCAAATTCAAGCCTTTCACTGGTTATGAATAAAATTGGAAAAAGGGAAGCCTAGAGGCATCATTTCCACTACTGCTTTGGAAGAGACGCGACATTTAGCAAAGTTTTTTATAGGAAAAGAAAGCATTCGAACATTAAAAGCTTCATATTATCTGTGATTAGTTTTAAGCCTCAACGCATATTTTGGGTTTGGAAACAGTAAGAAATACTTTTCCAATCTATAACCCCTGCTTGTTGTTCATGTGGCATCACTTTTTGAGCTCACTGTCCCGAAAACCTTTAAACAAATGAGGTGCACTTTGGGGTATAATTTTTCTGACTCTCAAGAACCGGTGGCATTGATAATTTCAGCAGAGCCAGTAGTTGCTTTGGTAACTTTGCATTGTTACAGTTCCCCTTTATGTCTTATCGTTGACTGGATAGCTAATAAACCGATGTCAGCAACATCGCCTGAACGAATTCAGTACAACCCATAATGTTTGAAGCGCTTTACCGTTTTCACTTTATTGAAAAAAGAATTTGGGGATTTTTCCAAAAGGCATTCAAACATTAGAATGCTATTTTCTATTGCTGCTTAGCAATAATCCTGGAGTTGACGGAATACAATTTGAATCCGAGGGGAAAAAACGAGACTGGTATGCGAATTTTCGTGGCTGATTAGGTAACCGGGGATATGAAAAAGGATAACAGATTAGAGGAGTCGACGACTACTCCATTAGTTGTAATGCATTTTCTACACTTGGGTCGTAGCGCGTTCAGGAAAAAGCATCGCGCTTTGCAGCAACATTAAAGAAAGATTTTAGTCGGAATTGAAATCACCCAATCTAACTGTGTTAATTATCGTTAAAACAACTCCAAAGACGTAAGGCACTTGCTCACGATGTTCGTAATTAGCATCAATAACGGCACGCCCATTGATGAAGTCAATGGAAGAAACTAAATGCATTTTTAATGTGAAAATGGATTGGCATATACGAATGTTTTCAGAATCAAATGACACTATTATGAAGACCTTTGGATTTGACTGGCTTTGAAACACATAATAAGGCACAAATCAATTCGGAACTCAGAAGTATGACTTGAATTCATAGTTCTTTTGAATCATTTCAAATTTTTTAATTAAAATTATTTGAAAAAGTTGCATTGCAATATCACAACTGTTTCTGGTAGCCATTTACACAAAAAATAATCACATAATGAGATACAGCAGATCCCCTTTCCAGTTAATTCGACTTTCCTATTGGAATATTCTCCAGGAAGTGACACATCTTTAAAAAAAAATAATAAGCTGATTAGTTCCCTTATATACCGGCTCCTTTACAAATCAGTCACCGAATTTTGAGCCGTCGTTCATAACAGCGTCAAAATATACCAGAATGAAGTTCCACGGAAGCCAAGTTAACTGAAGAAGGAAATTATAACAAAGGAATGTCTACTATTTCCGAAACCGTGTAGCGAATCGAAGAAATAGAATACACTCCTTTCCAGAGGAACAGCTTGAAGTTTGGAGAGACGTCACTTAAGCGCATTTATGCAGTAGTAGAATGAGTTGAACTTAGACAAATTACAGAGTAAAATAGTTTCTCGACTTGATTATCCAATCAGCATTAATTTGTTACGCTGATTACGTTGATACTTAGGTCAACTCTGATAAGATCTCTGTTTCTCATCTGCACTTCAGCGCAACGACTAAACGCTTTGACTGCAAGAAATATCACGAAACTACTCCCAACATCGGAATTTAAAGGAAATTACGCGACGTTGGAACGCCAGACTAGATGTACCGCTATTCGACCCTTAAGAAAAGCAGTCTTCTCGATCAATAATTTCCAAATTTTTTAATTCAGTATGCCAAATAACTGGAAATGTCTGTAAACCGTTTACAAAGCCGAGCTTCCGATTTTATAAATTAACATTCATTCGATTCAGCCAAAATGAAACTAATGACATTTTTCCCAAAATCGGCATGACTTTCGAGTTTTCACGAGCAACCCAGTCGTAAAGAAAATGTACTCCTTTTATATCGCTTGCAAAATCCTGGCTACAATGGTACATTATTGCTTATTTTTGTATTGAACACTTCCGACTAACTAATTTGTAAACGTGTGCAATTTACATCCTGGCACTTTCAGTTCTATGGAAATCGTAGAAAGAGATTCTGAAAAATGCACGTTCAACTAAGCAAAATTTCCCCACAGGTTACCCTTTCCTGCCGGCCCACCAAACCCACGAGTCGGAGAGTGCTCGAAAAAAAAACAGGCTTCAAAGTATGGCAAGCAGCGGTAGAAGTAGAAAGGGCTGCTTCTTAATGGACAAATTCACGTCTTGACCTGCACACAGCCATTGCCGATGGGGAGGACGAGAAAGGTAACTTACGCTCCTCGGAGGACCTGAACTCGAGAGGCTTGGCCTTGTCGACAAGGGGATCCTGGGAGCCAACCTCAACGACTTTGTGTGTCTCTCCCTCGGCGGCCTTGCGAGCGGCTGCGCGCTCCGCCTTGATAGTCTCCTGCTCCTTGCGCAGGAGCTCCATCTTAGTCTTAGGGTCCACATCCTCCGTCGACTCAACCGCCTTCACTGCCGCCTCCTCTGTCGCCTTATCGGGCAGCACCGAAATCGCCTAAAAAGGAAGAAAGACCAATGGCACAAGCTGCCCTTAGAAACATTACAAAGTGGACAATTGTTTCTTATTGCGGCTCGCAAATGCTATAGTTGAGACCCACTTCTACGAGGATAGATCATAGTATTCCCATTTATTATAGCCGAGGGCAGCACTGGGATAATCCTTGTATAGAAAGAAGACCGCTATCATGATTTGGTCTTGTGACCGATGAAGAACCAAGAAACGGTTTTTATTACTGCTCCGGAACATGCCAAATAGGACATAGCCACAAGAGAAACAGAATCAATACCCTTGGTTTCTTAGATGAAGTCTAGCTATTACTGCGCACCATAAAGACACCAACGAACCACCTTGCCATGAACGTTTCTTAATTGAAATGACATTGTATTTTTTTCCAGACCTTTTAAGTACCTGCTGTAGGGCACAAATAAATCCAAAATTCGTAGGCCCAAAGAGCTAAATTGCTCGTCTAGGAGAACTGAACCGGATGTCCCAATCTGGTCAATTTGAATAGTTTCCCTCGGGCCTTTTAGAATTGAATAATACGTCATTTTTCGCAAAGATATAATTCTTGTACCAAATTACGATTGCTGCTGATGTCAAAAAACAATTAGACAGTTATGGGATGTAAAGACATTTACAAGATTTACGAAGGATATGTAAGGCACTACTATGCGTCATTCATCCTTTGTAGTTTAAATGAACGCTTGTTCCTGATTTCAAACACACCCAATTCGTCCGCTTTTAATGTTTTCAATAAAAGCATGTAGTGACTAAATAGTATATATTGTCGACATAGTCCCACATTTTTACCCGCAAGAGCCCTTGAAAAGGCCTAAGCATAGTTCTCTCCGCCGTGTACTGTTAAACTGCAAGCATCATAGCTGATAAAAAGTCAAGAGATGGGAAAAAGAACTGGAAAAAATTCGGGCAAAAATGTCAACAGAGTCTCATGTCTACAAGACGCATAGCGTCAGTGAAATGAGGGGAAAATAACTCGTAAGGGACAGATAATCAGCTTCAAAAATTCTAAAACAGTTTCAATAATCCACTTTGACATGTAGCGAAATTATACAAACAACAAATATCCAAGTACCATAAAAAAAAACCGCCCCAATAGGGCACGATACAAAATGACGATAATTAAAATCAGGAATCGCAAATATTACTACTCACGCAAGTGATACCGCGTACTAGGCAACTAATTCCAGATTTATTTAAAAATAATAAACACTGCAAGATATTTTAATAAAGAAAATTTAGAGAAGGATCGAGGTTTCAGGGTTAAAAAAGGCTAAGGGTGTGAAATGGAATAATCCCAGAATTGGATTATTGTAGAAAAAAAACATCCCAACACAAAGAAGAGATCAAAACGCTACGAGAGATGAATCAAACAAGATAAAAGCTCGTAAATAAATTAAGATCACCTTCAAAGTATTAGTGGATACACCTCACTAAAACATAAAAAGGGTAATAGAATACATTAGTGCCAGACGCCTTTTATGACAATGAAATACAAAAATAGAACTGAGTCTGTTTGGGTACCAAACTTTTGGATGGAAAAAGTGGCCATTCGAGTATCATTATCCGTTTACAAAGGGTCAGCTCGAGACATTAGGTCCCGAGACCACTATGACAGTACCAGATACTTTGAATTAGTAAACGAAATCGCACATATTCGGAGTGCACAAAAAGTGAAGGTCCTGCACATTCAAACACCAGAACACTGTTTACTGTCTCTAAAACATGTAGAACTTACAAATGCGTTAAAGTGGTTATCATTTTGACTTTTTAACAAAGATGAAAAATTATCCACCACAATGAAAGCGGTGGCGAAAATTTTGTGAACAAAACCCCAGGTTGACGAAGTATCGTAACAGCAACAAGCGAGTCGTCTAGAAGACGTTAATAGATGCCAGTTGAAACGACAATAAAATTTACTAACATCATTGCTGGCCAGCGCTTAAAACTCCATAGGGAAAACAAATAATACCGCAGAAACTAGTGCACATCGCTTGAGCCTATCCAAGATCGCATTTTTTTAGGGTCCTTGCTAAGGACATAAGCATTCAATGGGAAATTAGGATGACTCACATGCTGAAGTTGCCGTTCAGGTGGAAGAGTCGTGTCCTGCAGGTACATGGCTCGGGAGAGAAGAAGCAATGTAATTGGAACATTCTTCTCCAGGTGCAGCTCCAGCCACTGATTGAGTTGACTACGCAACCGTCCCTCAGTCAGACCGAGAGACCGCATGCCGCGGCTACGTGAAAGAGACTGCAGTTCCCACGATGGTATCTGGTCAACACCCTCCTTGGCGATCAGCTGTGAAGTAAGAAGGGGAAACAGTTAGGTAAGAAAGACTCATCCAAGGGTCAGAAAGTTATCAGAGCCCACCTTGTCCTCAGTGCGCAGTTGACGAACCCGGAGCCACAGCTGGAAGCGAAGAAAATTGCTTGGACCGATGGAGTTAATTTCAAGTAGTTGGCATAGGGCCTTCAGCTGAGCATGATCCAGAGAATCGAGCGTCACTTGGTCTTCGAAGAGACGGGAAAAACGGAGGATGTCTGTAGTGTCGGCTAGCTGACCCGACTGTCGGACCTAGAGCAGATGATTCGAAAAACAGGGGAACATTAAGGCTTACGGTTTTCAGAAACTCCTGAAACTCGACAATGGTTGGGATATCTTTTGACTTGCTGGTTTTGGTGGTAGTTTGCATAACGGTTTCCTGTAAGAAACGAGCCACTTCCAGCTTCGCTTTCAGCCGCTGGCGAACCTTCTCCTCCTAAAAAAAGTGTGAAAGTTCCAATAAAAGTGCAAACCTCCTTTCCCTTCTCCTTGAAAGTACTGGGCAACATGAAGGGGAAGAATTTGAGATAGACAGGTAACAAAAGTTCCATAAAGGGAACAATTATGAAAACAGCGAATGGCACCAGTCGGAATATATCAGCCACCGTCCGAACCAGCTTAGGGATTTCGTAAATGAGGTGAAAATTCAAACCTGGTTCCTTTCACGCCGGGTTAGGGTCTTCCCAGTTAGTAGACGGAGGCATATACCGCCAGCAATTATCGTCTCCAAGCCAAGAAGGCGAAAGCCATGGTAGTAATGGATGAGTTCTTCTTTAAATTTTACCAAAAATGATTTCTTAGGTTTTTTGGGTTCAACCTACATGCTGATAGAAGGTTTGAAATTGTAAGTTACAGCCTTTTGTGGGTTATTTCCAGGAGACTGTGATGCCACCGGAGCAGGGGTCGGTTCCTTCAGTGATGCAGTTTGCGATTTGTCTGAAGAGTTGGGGAGTGGAATCCCGGTAGTCGGTGGCATCGGAATACTAGATGTTGATGATTTGCTTGAGATGACTTCCAGCTCGCTCAAAATAAAGGATGTATGGAAATCCAATTTGAACTCATAATTAAGACTCATTGCGGTCTTTTCGAAAACCTGTCTTGCGGTTACATAAGGCGTAGTTCTGTTCAAGGCATATCCGTGCACAAAAACGTGACTTCTTCTCAAGCCGATCAAAACTCCACTTGCATGCCCAAAACCAGCCACATGTCTGCAGCTCATGATTAACGAATTCAATCTAGCTAAATCAACACGAAATAATGGACACTAAACCTTAGTAGGCGCATGATTGGTGGGAAATGGGGAGTTCAACAACAGGAGGCGAGTCGGAAGTTATACCCGGATACACGAAGCCCGACCGCCTTCCAATTTGTACCCAACGTACCGTGCGGTCATATTGCCTTATTTCCTTTCAAGGTAACATAGAGCATCAATAGCATTATGATGCCAACTAAAAATAGTTCGCTGAATTTGGTAACGAAACCTAAAAAAGTTTAAATCAATGTGGCAGAAGATGCCATAAAAATGCACTTTTTAATGGGTTATGATTACCTGATTGAATAATGGTTGTAGCATATTGTACGTTCGTACACCTACCACTACTAGCTGTGAATGACTTTTCGTAATACTATCACAGCATTATTTTTGTTGTGATTATTAAAGTTAAACTTTGTGTTGTAATCAGTATTTTACATGCGTGTACTCATCTACGCACCACACGCCAGGTGTTACATTTCAAGTGGGTTGTGTCTATTACATTTATGTCTGTTGCATTCCTCTCCCTTCTTTTCCACCGCTATTCATCTGTAGCGTCCCGAAACTCCCTGAAGACGAAAGAAGACAAAATACTCGGGCAGAATATATATATTCAGCACGGAGAAGGTGTCTGGGCTATTGTCATGGCCCAAAAGGCCAGCCCACCCAGCGAGGTACAAGGGGGCTAATTCGAAGTACAAAAGTGGCGCCTCACCAGAACCGAGGGATAAACCACTATCGTATTACACATCGGTATTGCTTTTGTCGTATTCATAAAATTTTTATGCGAACACAATTCTACTAGAGTGCATCTGTGTTAGTATTGGCAGATATCGGCGAAATGGCTCTTTTAAGGCAATGCAGAAAACGCGTATTTTACTAGTGGGTCACCAAATATGTGATAGTTTATGTAATCGATTAATTCACCCTTTGATTCTTACTCTACGCGGATCTGCCACATAACATTACCTTCTTGCTTGATAGTGCAAATTCGGTAATACAGTTCGAAAGCTGATGCAGTGCGATGGGTGTTACTTAAATTTATCATGATTACTTTGCAATGTCATGCGCGCGCTTTAGAGAAGTCTGGTCAAAGTGTGCTGGTAGAAGGCTTCATTATGCGCATGATTCCCTCCAGAATAGATAAGAACTAAACACACCACCCTTGGAGGGCATTGCACTGCAAGTGTGGAAACATGATGGATGCCTTGTTTCTACACTACCCAGTGTGATAATTCATTCAATTTCAACCGCAACTGCTTGTACACTCGTCACAATATGGTGATGATTGCAGCTATGAGGTAGTGTTAGCACTACACCGCAAGATATCTTGCTTTCGTGTAATTAGCTTGGACTCTTGGGGGGGAGGGAAAATAAGAGATGCTACGTTGTTGACCAACTCCGACATGAGCATAGCCTCAGTTCCAACAATTAAATAAGATGTTTTAGACATAAAAGCTCTTATTTAATCCAATTATAAGTTCGAATACCTAAATAACAGGAGCCTCAATGTAAACGTTGGAGTCAAGTACGATAGGATGTCAATCCTCGCTCGATAACAGACTATTCCTGACATGAGGACCCTCTGAAAAATTAACGATACATTTGTTTTTTTTGGTAATGGTCTATATGAAACGTAACAAGGCACTTTATTTGCACAATCAAGCGAACTTCAGAAGTACCCAACATTGTCAGCCCTGTCATCTTGTTAGCCAAATTACTAGTTTCATTTAAAAGGCGAAAAATTATGGCCCTCCAGCCATGTCCATAGCATTCCAGTCCTTCTATGAGTAATCGATAGATCCTCCTCCAGACTGGTACGGCTTAATTCGATTTCAGCGAAGGTTCAGAGCCCCGGAGAATCCCCGCAGACCAAGGGAAATGCAAAAGCATAAAGCAAGAGCGGTGCTAGTACATTGTATCACGGATGCTTGGTCCAACAGAAACCATGGCTGCTCATAAGGGCTGTGCCATAACGGAGAGATTAAAAGGGAGGTAGGGCTATAGAGGGGAAGGGCGCAGCCTTACATAAATACATACTTATTCACCAACCCTCGCACCCATGGAAGTCCCTAAGGCAGGTGGTATCGGTAATAGTGGTGGTTGTAGGGGTGATCGCCTTGTTGGTGTCGGTGTTGAAAGTGGTGAGGGCTATAGAAAGTAGGTCTATTAGTTTCCACAACCAACTGCTGGTGGTGGGTTAGGGGCTGATGGTGTTGGCTGGCGGCTCTCATTCGAAGGAGGATAGAGTCTAGCGACCTGTTCACCGACCGCTGAGGTGGTAGGGGCGGGGTTGGCGGGGTGAAGGCGTTCAATAAACTTCCTCCCTGACCCACTGGATCTATTGGTTCATAGAAAGGTGGCGGCATTGTCGGCCGCAGTACAGAGGCCCGCAATGGGGATGACAGTTTTTCCTGATCCAACATTGCCTCCTCCAAAAAATCAGTGTAAATCTCTGTTGAGCCAGTTGGAGAGTGCTCAAGCTTGGGGAAGTTGATATAAAGGGGTCTCCTGGTAGCCAAAATGCTGTCATCTCCACGATGAAGAACACTTGGGCTGTAATTCTGTGGGTCTTTCAGTGGAGGCATTAGCGAAAATGGTGGTTTTGCGACAACAACGCAAGGGGCATTGGTGTAGTCGTGGAGATATTTTGATGACCCATACTCTCCCATGGCCTCTTCACGGGTCGTGCGAAATGCGGAGGAGGAGGTAGCGTTGAAGAAGGGGTCATTGAATCTTCTGGAAGAGTGGAAGAATCGGACGGGGTTGTCAAGATTAGAGATACGAGACACTGGGTAGCATCCCACAGGGTTCAATTGCCACGCAGGGGAGAAACGCTGGCGTGAACGCAGACCTGTAGCTTGGGTTTGAGGTAGAGAAACTAGAGAAGCCGAAGAATATTATAAATCATAAAATTAAATAAAGTAATTGTGAGAACTCTGCCTACCACCACTACTGAAGTCCTCCGACTTGCTGAATTCCGAGAGAATGATGCGTTTGGGAGCAGGTGGTTGAATTGGGCTCCTTCCACCGCCATCGTCAGGTGAGTGGGTCTTCTGTGCCCCGAGAGAAATGCTTTCCGACATGTCATGGGGCCGCTTCTCGCCCGAGGTGATCATGCCGTGGTAGGAAGTGGAGAGGTCACGACCCCCGTGATACTGATAGCGGTGATAGGGTTGCAGCATGTGAAAGCGCGAGCGCGGCGCCACCTCTCGTCCGCAAACGCTGCCGCCACCGCGGCGCCAGGCCTTGGCGGCAGGCGGGTACGTGGCTATAGGGCGACTGGCGAGACGACAGCTTGGCACGCTGCGCACGGGTTCCAGTGGCTCCTGCACCACTGACGTCTTAGCTGCCACCTCCTCCTCTTCCTCCTCTTCGATGAAGGAGAGGTCACTGCTTCGAGATGGCGCTCTCTCCACCTCCGCTGCTGCACTGACTACCGCTCGAGGTGGCGTTGCTCTCGCCTTCAGAGACTGTTGTGAGTCTGCACTCTTTGCACTGTTGCTCATCAGAGGGTTCTATAGTCAAGCCAAGAAGTTCCATACTTAAATGCTTATTATTCAACGACACGCTACTAAGTTTGCACTAGCAAGACCGCGAAGGAAAGAGTGCCTTATAAAGCATTTAAGTAGATTATTATAAATAAGCATGCTACGCTATAGCATAGGTCTTTAAGGTTATCGACGTTCCAGGTATAGGAGGCTCCGACATTTCAACCGCATTTACAGTCGAAATGTCCTGCGGATTTATAATAAACAATTTTTTACAAATTTGTATTCCTCATCATATATCCAGCAATAATGCAGCTTTCAAGCATCAGATGAGTTTCTTGCTAGGCACTGCATTACGTTATAATCCTCCTACTTCAAAAGAAATCGAATTTTATTTGACTTAAAAATGTGAATGAGGGTACACTCCTTTGGCACCGACTCTAGCGATAATGCTAAACCTTGCCTTTGTTACTATTGTAACAAAATACTAACGTTCTTTAGCTCTACTAATGTTTATTTTGCAACAAAAGTAGGAAGTGAAACACTATTTTTAAATTGATCCATCAGATCCTTAAATACATTTCTTCTTCAAAAATGGTGCCGATTCAAATGTTTGCCCTCATGCTGTACACCAACTTGTCGTATGCTGTCACAAATTGGGAGTATGGTAGTGCAGAAACGCTTGTTTTGTAACCTCCTACGAGGCCACTTGGACCACTCAAAAGTTTTTGACAGTAACTGAGGCTCTTTCTTTAACACTGACAGGGTAACAGCAAGGTTATGCATAATGACAGGATGAAATGTAAACTTAAGGATAAGGAACTTTCTAGATTTGAGAAAAATGAGTTGCAGATAAATACTACCAACACCTAGTGTCGAGAGATTGCACATCGCATGCATAATTACCACAGAAAATAAGAATGAAGGTCAACAAACAATTCATTAGAATAGCTTAGCGCGACACAAAGCGCGCATCACCACACGTTCGGAGGAATATTTGGGAAATATATTGAATGCTTAAATGGGTTCTTGATTTTGGCAGCAATCAAATCGCAATAAAACTTTGTTGAAAGTAAGGAGTTTGCATTTAAAAATTAAGTCTGTTTAAATTGTCGACTTGAAATGGCTAAGAAGCTATTATTATTCGCAACATTTTCCTTTAAAGTTATTTCAGAAGCACCTAAAGACGAAACCGATTATTTAACAATAAGCTTATGAAGTCATCGGTGGCCTTTTTAGAGAAAAGTACAGATTATCCACTACGGGAGAGGATTATGAATAGTGTACCTTCGTAGGACGTTTGCTAACGACCTCCTTGGGTGATTTCCAACGACTTCCAGTGCTGAAAAGGGAAACATGACATTTTCAAGTTCTCACTCACCGTAGACGAAAAGCGGTCCGTCACTATTCAACTTACTGAAGAGAGTCGTCTTCGGTCTCCGAGTTCCTGGCTGATCGATGTACATTGTGGGTGACGGCACCGAAAAACCGAGCCAGAAGGTCAGCCGATTTCTAAGCAATAGAAGAGACAAAAGGCAATTATGCGCTAAAAGGGGGTTGGGTGGAGTAAGGGGTAACTCCAGCCGCCAGGGAGTGGGGCATGCGCTGTCTAGGTTACTGAATTGACAAATCGGAGGCGATAACCGCCAGTCGGCACAAGCACATACGAACACAGCGACTGAAACACAAACACGCACAGAGTGGACTAGACGCCTAAGAGTTCCCTTCTGGCATATTTTTTTTTGCGTCGATGATATTATTCACCAGACCTGGAGCCTTGAAAGAAGGTGTGGCCTTGGAACGTTGGTGGAGGTCTCTGTCAGAAAGTCCGGAGTCTGTGCATGTGTGTGCAAAAAGGTCAGACGTAAACAGACATATCAAACACACACAGGTCAGATTAGTAGAAGGGTACGATGGTACCGGTAGCAGTGGTACGAACAATAAGTCCGCTAAGTAGGCATGCAAAAGTGCACCAGAGTGGCAAATAAATCAGTGGTTGATGCGATAAGTAAAAATGAGAAATATTGCATGCCCAAATGCACAAACAGAGCTCTAATATAAGTAGTAGTAGTAGTGGTGGTAGCAGCAGCAGTAATATCAGCAGTTATAGTAGCATTAGTAATTGATAAGGCGGTAAGTAAGTATTCTCGGATAGGGGCAGACTACCTTCGATCCACTTGAGGATGAACTGCTCACTGGTGACAGCTGTAATGATGCCAAATTTTTCAATGTTTCAGCATTTTCAAATGGTTACATGGCTGCATTAAATCATTAAATAACGGCTCCTTTCGGCAGTAGCGGCTGGTTTTTGCCAACCGGTCGTAAATCAGTGAATAATTATTTGAAAAACGTAATAATGCACTCATTTAAATTTTCTCAAATTACAGCGGATAATCCTTAAAATTGAGTAATTTGACTTGGGAAAATCTCGTCCAGTGGTTAAAACGCAGCTCACCGATTGGTCTTTGCCTTGAGGATGTTTGGAGAGTCGATAATTTTCGAGAATCAGCAGGCCTGCGTAAATCTTTCCGACTGTCATCTTGTGATAGACGAGCTCTGTTAACCGTAAAATAGTTTAAGCATGCTACTCGCGACCTCATAAGTAGACTAGAAGTCACTTGTGAACAATAACTACCAAAAAAAACAACTACTGAACCTTCTGCCAGTAAGATATGAAAACCGCAAAGGAAACAAATGATACTTACGTTGCCGGTGTCTTAATAAGTTCGCACAGATAACACATCGGAATTAAACCACGCCTTACGAAGCTTATACTCTCGAGCAAAGGTTGAACTATTCAAAAGTCGTCATACGTTTAACCAATGAAAATCAGATTATTAAGTAGTGAGTTGGAGCACATACAGACAGGTAGTCAGTAAATTGACGAAAAATCGTCCGCATGAAAAATAAGAAGATACTATAAGCAACTGAAGGATTATCAAGGAGTCTGAAAACTTGTTTTAGGAGAAGGGTGGTTTAGTGAGGACATGGAAAGTGGATAACCTTCTTTTAATTAACTGCACAATCAGTTTAGAAAGTTACCAGGTTCTTTTATTTGATCCCACTATATTACTGTTCTAATTGAAAAGAAATAAGTGACATTTGCTCCAACTAAAACTAAGTAGGCTTACCTGAGTCCGGTGGGACAAGAATGTTCATCATACGTTTGGCTTGCACGGGCCAGAGTTTGAGTAGGCTATAGCGCAGTTCGTTGTCACGCTGGTCCATAATCTCTGCCGGTCCCATTTTAATGCTTAGCGACTCACGAATCAACGCGAAAAGGGTGGTTGTAAAGTGCACTGTTCCGTTGTCATCGACGGGCATATTCATACGGATGAGTTTCTGCAAACGGATGGATACGGAGTGCAGTAAGATTAATTTCGAATGAAAATGGTATTCAACGAAAATGTGTGAAAAGCACTAACCCTGTAGGCTAGTCGGTAAGGGCATTTCTTCCCGAAACCAACAGGCGGTTCCATATTTCGTAACATTTCGTACATATCGGTGTGATGTATGCGACCGCTGCAAGAGTCGACGATTAAAATGGTTAGCTTATCGGACTTATAACAGTAAACGGAAAGTTTTGACCAATTGTTTTAACATCACCAATTTACTTCGCACCTTGTTACAATACCATCTTTTCCAGTACAACCAGAATCCTAGGTCTTATTCTATTCACAAAAGACCGCAACGATGCTTTGAAAAGAACTTAAATGTCGAAAAAAAAGGGAGTCTTGATAGATGGCTTAGGTCGCTTAAAAATACCATGAAGTAAGTATATTATTTGTTGGTTAACCACTTCCCTAAGAGTTTAGATTACTTTTCACCGTAAAAGCACGAAATCTCCTGCAATTCTACTACCACTCAAGGGACGTGGAACTACGTTTATATCACTTGTAAAAATCTCGTATCCCTTCTGTGTGTTGATGACAAACCTGCTTATAGACTGGTGTGATCTTCAGTGTCTTCAGGGAACTCATGTTTAAGGAATAGTCACTCTCTACCATGATGAGTGATTGCACGAAAAGGCAGGAGTGAATGACTTACCGAGCGGTGGGATCGTACTCAGCCCAAACGCGTACAAATTCATCGAGGTGGTGAGGCCCGAGGATGGAGGAGTCGCGTGTGAGGTAGTCAAAGTTGTCCATGATAACGGCCACGAATAGATTCAGCATGAGAAAGGCTGAGAGGAAGATGAAGGTAACGAAGTAGAGGTAAGTTGTCTTGCTGCCGCACGATGTACCGGAGCCCTCGCACTCCCGACCCGCGTCGCAGTCTAGCATCACCTCCTGCCAATTCTCGCCAGTTGCACACCTGCCAATCATCAATCAAAAACACAAATCATTCCTTCGGTACTGCCCGCCTCTTCGGTGATATCCTTTAAACATGTCTAAATTGGATCAGTAATTGTAGCAGATGGACGACCCTTCGAGTGCGGCACCTGCTTTCTGCTAAGACGCAAGTGTGAAAAGGATTTCCAGAGCACATTCGTTACATCGAATAAACCTTTCAATTTCATTTAATTGGTGATCAAATTTTCACCCAAGGTCGCCCCAAAAAGTCACACATTTCGAATATTCTCACTGAACCCGTCATTTCTCAATTAATCTGTCGTCAAGGCAAGTTTGACCTTGAATTTTCGTCCGATCCTTCATTGCTATCACTGGAAATCGGAGCATGCCAATGCGAATGCCTGAGAAATGCAAAGCATTCTCTTCTTTCGTTTGGCCTAGAATCGTTTCGGTTAATAGCAACAAACACTTGGCAGATCGGTATAGCAGCAAGCAGAAATTATTTGCCCTTTCATTCATTCATAAGGTATTTTTGGGTGTCGCACCATTGTTACCTAAAGTACTTCCGTAAGTTATTTTGTGAATACTTCAAAATAGAATGTTTTCGTATCTACAGAAACATATCATCTGCAAATATAGGTAAAAATTGCGTTTGCGAATAAAAACGTACGTCTTGACATTTAGAGAAGTTGGTAAATTACTAAAAAGCAGTTCGAAATTGCGAATCCTGTGCTCATCGCCAAGGAGGGGGAGGATCACCACTTTTACCACAGGTTGACACACTGGATCAATGTACATAAATGATGTGGCCACCACCATCTATGTATCGTATATTAACTAAATCTTAATTACTTAAAAATTAACGAGTTTCGAAGTTCTAAAAGCACCAATATCATCAAATTGCTCCAAATAATTTATTTCAAATTCCTATTTTGCATCAGCATAGTTTATATCTTGATTGGCTTACCTAAAGAGGAGCAGGATACCGCTTCCAAAAGTCTGGAAGTTGTTGTGGTTATTCATCTGCGTCATTGGATCATTTTTTATGTTTCCAAAAACCTGAAAAAATGTTAAGAGGCGTGTCTCATTACGGCAAAAACCCGGAAGGAAGGGGTCACGCAGGACAGGGCATTTTACTCACCTGCATGCCGATGATGCAATAGATAAAGAAGAGAATGACAATTAGGAGGCAGACATAAGGCAATGCTTTCACCGACTGAATGAACGTCCACAGGAGGATGCGCACTGTGTAGCCCTGTCGAAGAAGCTTGATCAAACGCGCTGCTCGGAAGAGTCGTAGGAAACCAAGACTTAAAAATGCTGATTGCTAGAGAAGAAGGTAACGAGGATGTATAGCTTAGACCACAAAAGCAGGTCCCAGGGCAGATAGCATATCAAGCTGGTCTCACCTGAAGTTCAGAAACCAGAACATCTGTGATGCTACCTATCACCGTGATGAAGTCGAAAATGTTCCATCGGTCGCGAAAGTAATTCTGTAACAAAAAGTAGCCTTCCAGGAGCTTCTAAAGCCTTAATTTCCGTGAGGTTAATCAGTGAGAAATAACAAATCCAACATTTGTAGAAAGTTGTTGAACATTTTTAAGCTTTTTGACGGAAGAAGATTTTTTGATAAAAATTTGTAATGGCCAAACCGTATTACAAGTTTCCTTTGGGTAACTTGCATCAAACATTCTGTTAGATCTTGTTGGAAAATCAAACTAGGATAGTAACTTTTACCCGCATTACGTTCGAAAATGCAAAACCGTCGAGCTTATTTGCCAAGTTTTAAGTAAAGTTTATCCAACATAACGGCAAGTCTAACTTACTTCAAAATAAAAACAACACAAAGAAGTACTTAAGTAACCATTTATTAATAAACCAATTGAATGTTTTATCATGAATTATGGGATAAGGCGGTGGTGTTATTTGTGAGGTGGTTTAAAACACTGAGACAAATTGAAGCGCTGGTAACGCAAGGCAAGTAAGTATCCCATAAAAGACTTCGAACTCAATTGCGATTTTGGAATAAATCCCAAAGAAATCTAAAAGCTCATTTCCACCACTTTTAACTTATGCACTATTAATGAGAATAAACGGAAAAAACATTCAGGGAACAGGTCTTGCGACCCTTGCAACAAATTATTTTAAAAATATTATAACCCCTAAGTCCAAACCTGAAAACATTCATGAAATTGGACTTGTTTTTTAAATTACTAGAAAGAAGATCATACTCCATATCTCAAATGTTACATCAAAGTAAGGGCTTGTTCATTTTTCATTGAAGTCAATGCTTAGAAAACGCGGAAAAAGTCGACTAATAGCAGATAGGCGTTAGTGCTGAAAAGTTGAAATTTTACTGCACTTACCTTCGGTCCGAACGCCATGATTTTGAGAACACACTCTACGGAGAACATGATGGTGAAGGCAGAATTTAGAAATATTAGTGTGTTGCAGTAGTTGTGGTAGTTTTGCTGAGCCGTGTCAATATTCGTTGCCACAGAAGGTCTCCTCTCTTGTCGATGATACTGGAAGAAAAAGAAGGCAGGGAAGAAGCAAATCCTCAATTTCAAATTCCAAATTGGTATAATTCTACCTAATTTATTAATAATTGCTTGCCTTGAAATACTTAGCATGGTGTTTCCATTGGATCTAAGGGTATCGTTGGAAATTTTGATACACGCATTATGCACATTTTGAGATGTCATTTATTGTGCCTAATCTATTGAGATTTGGGAGTATAAATGACAGTGGAATTGGCACAAAAAAGCGTGTACAGGTGGGATGGCGTGTTCTTTGGGAATTCTTAAATTAACAAACTACATTCCGTAGAGCACCTCTTATCTAGTAGCGCCATGGATGATTCCTTTGTGGACTGCAAGGTTGAATCACTTACCTTCATCATGAGGATCAGTGTGTTGAGTGCAATCATCACCATGATGTAGTACTCGAAGGGTGTCGACACAACCAGACGCCAAATGCGATACTTCCACGAGCGCTTGTTCTTTGGCATATAGCGACACAGAGGATGAGCATTGATAGCAAAGTCCACGCAACGTTTCTGTGACGTAGAGCACCAAAAGTAGTAGTGATAGGCATATACGACCAGATAAAATGGCGTGACTTAGTTCTTCTTAGCGGACACGAGCATACTGAATGATTTACTCATTTTTCGTTAGTTTGGAGCAGTCCAGAAGTCTGTTGGGTCACCTGACGGAACTAACATCTCTCTTGTCATTCAGTTATCAATGCATTTATTTAAAAGTGGGAATGAGATTTTGGCAGCAAGTCGGGACATGTTTGTGTAGCTGTGACAAATATGGCTTATTCTTTTGTCTTGGGCATTTCCACTTTTTAGGTAAAAAGAATGGAAAAACGTCTGATGATGGGGGCAAAACAGAATCAAAAAACATTACGCTTAGTGGTTTACCAAAGCGCATTTCACTAATCTTTTTATTGGAGTTAAATGTTCAATTAAATGGTGGATTAAAGCTTCGCATAAAATTGAATGTTAGGATTTTTTAAAAGTTTTCAATTCCCCCCATAAATGAACACTAAAGCTAGACTATTCAAAAATAACAGTAAATGAAATACATTGCAGTGAGCACAAAGGGTCTCCAAATCCAGTGTCAAGCAAAAGAACACAATACTTTACCTCGAGCAATACAACTTTGTATTTAGATACAATCGACAAACTCGTTATTTTAAAGCTATCCACACTGGCATTTGGAGGTTACTCTTGGCATTCATAACGTATTCTAAAATTGGAAGCTTGCTTACCTGATTTTTGTCCAGCTCCAGATCCATCAGTTCATTTTCACCCTGCTTTTGGAAGGTGATAATAATCAACGCAACAAAGATATTGACGAAGAAGAAGGGGAACACAACAAAGAAGGTGATGTAAAAGATTGCTACTTGTTGTTGATAGTCCTCCAGAGGTCCCCTATTTACATGTGTCGCGTCCATGGAGTTTTTCAGAACTCTGAAATTTAAAGATATGTGGATATTACAACAGCATATGAGTGGATTTGAACCACTTTTCTAAATATCTGTAAAAATATTAAACCTTTTTATGCTTCCAAGCAGCACACAATATCGCAAAGTGAATTTTTCACATACCCGGGCCAACCCTCACCAGTGGTTACAGTGAAAAGTGTCAGCATTGCGTAATAGACGTTATCGTAATTGAATCCATGGGCTTTCCATTCTCTCCAAACCGTGGTTGGAACACCATCTGCGTTATAGTCAAAAAATTGACCCCTGAAAGGTAATAGGTATTCTGTGAAATTATTCAGCCGGAGTTCCTCGGCTTAAGCATGACTTGTTTGTTATATCAGTACTGACCAGACCAATAAAGAAAAAAAGCAAAGATATTTGGACAACCTCACAGTAATTGCATGCGACTTACTGACATTCTTCTTTGGTTAATTTTGAGGCGTCATTGCAGTAGAAGAATTTGCCCTGGAACAGTTGCACGGCAATGACGGCGAAGATGAATTGGAAGAGCACGAAAACAATGAGAATGTTAAGAACATTTCGAAGAGAGCTTAAAACACAGTCGAAGACGGCCTGAAACATGAAAAATGTGACACGAAAATACGCAAATTTTGCTTTAGAACAAAACCAGTAGAGGTAGACAGAGACTTGAATGAGAGTGATGCTAACATTTCCGACTGAAAGTGGTCTGATATTTTTGGCGAATACCGGTTGGCCTCAAGGGTGATTGAGAATAAATGCAAAATCCTCAGAACTAGTTGAATGCTCTATCAAATGTACGATGCACTACTTATTGCTGGGACTGGTGTTTAGCGGCCAAAGGTGAATGCGGAAGTATGAAATTATTTGTCGTGTGAACAAGGTGATCGTGTTTATATTCACCCTCCTTCAAAAATAGGCATTTTAGAAGCAAAAAATCCCATAATGACTCAAAGTGGGGAAATATAATATTGTTCCCTTCCAAAAAATTCAAAAAGACAATCGTGTGTTCGTTATGGAAGTTTAAGCATTAAACTTTGGTAGAATAACAGCTTAGGCGTTCATAAACGAAGGTAAGGAACAACTCTTGAGAAACGATCAGAACTGAAACTGGACGGTACCCTGAAATTAGCAAACAAGGAAGTAATTTTCAAGCACAAATTGCATCTTGTGACAGAGGGTGAGTGCTGCACAAAGGTTTGAGGTCATAAAACATCGGACATTATGGCGAAATAAATTGACCAAAAACGGCGTGGTAATAATATAAACGAAGTCTTTTTATCAGGGCGGTCACCACAATCAACAAACATTTAACCTGACTAAATGCATTCGAGTCATGATGATAACACGAAATACGAAGGTACTTTTAGGAATGTAGGTGTATGAATAAGCTACAGGGGGAATTTTGACTGCTACAGCTAACTTGGATTGGTTGAAAGGCTTACCGCAGCACTTCAACCGGCCCCTGCAACAACCACATATTGTCAAGTTTGCCTGCTGATATAACTTGGGGCCAGTCCTGCCTCTTGTTAGAATTTGATGGTTGCTAAAACCATCGCAGAAATTTGTGTACGATGGGGAGATATGATGGAATCGTTTTGTTATTACAGCAAAAAAATGGCAAGAACCACGTACTTAGAACAAATTGCGTGAAAAGAACAAAGATATTATCAAAGTGGTTAATTAGTAAGCGCGCAATTCCCAATCAGTGCTACAGTCGAGAATTTCACCTTCAGTTTAGGCACTCGTTTGATCGTCTTCAGGGGACGGAGGACACGAAGCACTCGGAGCGATTTAATGGTGTTCAAATTCTTAGCTGAAGCGCTGGTGGCTGGTTTGCTGAAATATTTAAAAGGCAAAGTTTCATTTTGGTAAATGGGTAATTAATGAAATGATTAAAAGAAATTTATAAATAATAGAAATAGCTATGAACTATAATAAATATAGCAATAGAATCTACGTGGAAAAGTTAGATGTACTAAAAATTGTTTAAAAGGGGACACAAAGGTAAAAGCAAATCTGTTTACCCTTAGATGGTGTTAGATTGGTGATAATGATTTTCATAATGTAAAGCGAAAACTATTAGTGGTTAACCGCTACTAAAATGTTGGGGATATATGGATAATTGGCGCTATCTTTTACAAAAAAAATTTGTTTTAAACAAGATCAAACTAAAAGTAAAAAACCTCAAATAAAAATAAAATTAAATTACACTTTTGCATCACCATTCATATTGTTCAGTAATTGCAAGTGGTAGATACAAATACCAAATATAGTGCGGATTTCGGTATCGCTCGAAAAAATGATTTGATGAAATTTGTAGGGGCTTGGTGAACGCATCCCACTGTCTTAGCACACGCTTTATACAACATAAAGATGCTTCGGTCTATCGCATCGGTACGGCACTTTTCAGTGTGCTACCGACCAACTTACCCCCTCTTTCACACCCATCCCCATGCCATCAATTGGTGACTGAATGCACCTCATGTATGTGACTCCAGCTTGTATGCTCTACAAACTGAATCTGGCGCCCATTCGACGCACAGTTGCAGAGACCTCTCATCACATGCACGTGACATTTGGGGAAGGTGCGATGTGGAGCACTAAAACGCACCACTCTGGTTTACTTCGAAATACTCGACAATTGACTGCAGCGATGAATCTCTCAATGTTGGACACATCACTTCCAGAGCATTCTGTCATCTTCTTGCCTTAATAATGCCAAGAACAACATCCAGCGATGCTTAGCGCAAGTGGTGATGAAACAATGGGTCCTCGACCAAACCAACTGGGAAGGAGGAGGAGTCATGGCGGTGAAAACTGCTAAGCAAACGTGTCCCACTAACATGTCATGCACTAGCAGAGGGCAGATGGTAAACTTGAAGGCCTACCGATTGGATGTTCTCCACCTGTCTCACGTGTGTTATGGAGACATACCTTCCATTTTGCACTGTTGACTGACTGATTTATGATGAGAAACGGTTTCATGCTAGACATTGCAGTGTTTGGTGAACGAGCTAACAGATCATTGAATATACCCACACGATCCATTCACTACTCACGCCTCACCTCCAAGCTGCGTACCACCTCATCCACTGAACATATTGCTTGCTCAGTGTGCGTGTGTGTGTAGGCAAATGCAGGCGGACACAATTAGACACTTGGTGAGGGCTCGACAGCAATCACGACTGCGATCGGACCTGCCAACCCCGTGCCACCCAATGCGATTCGAGGGTGTGCATTGCACGTCCTATTCTTGCACCATTGCAGCACGAGACCTCATACCACCGCAAAACCCATCCGTGAGAGGATTTGCATTTTAGGTAGGGTGCAAGGAAGGGAGGAAGGAAGGTAGGAAGTGTGGGTGGGAGACAGGGATGTAGAGAGGGAGACTGCCTCATTCTCAGCCTTATCCTCATTCCCCACATTCCTCTGATGATGTTTCTCCGAGTAATAACTGTCACCATTTCTTAACACGACACAATCACATGAACATGTGCATAATGGAATGGACAGTTGAGTGGAAATTGAACTGCGTTAAAACAAAGGCGATCGGGGCTGGCTTTTCTTGG